GTGAGGCAATAGATATTTATCGTATGGAGGAAAAGAAATTTTCATCAAATCTGTACTACAAGCAACCCCTTCTTATGCCATGAGTAGCTTCCTACTCCCAAAAGCTCTATGTAAAGAGGTCAACAGTATCATCAGTAGATTCTAGTGGAAGAATGGTGGTGAAAGTAAGGGCGTGCACTGGCTAAAATGAAGATACATGTGTCTACTAAAAGATAAGGGTGGCCTAGGTTTTTAGGAGATGAAAAATTTTGACAAAGCCATGCTGGGAAATCAAGGATGGAGACTTCAAATAATGCCAGACAAGCTTGTCACAAGAATACTAAAAGCAAAGTATTTTCCACGTTGTCAGTTCGTGCGTGCAAATCTGGGCAGTAACCCTTCTTTCACATGGAGAAGCATATGGGCAGTAAGGGGTTAAATTAGAAGGGGTCTTAGGTGGCGTGTTGGCAATGGGCAATGAATTAAGGTCTGGTAGGATAAATGGGTTCCCACCTTATGTTCCTTTAGGCCTCACGAGCTAGAGAGAAGTGTCGACAGAGAATGGAGGTTGGCTGACTTAATAAATCCAACTACAATGTAGTGGAATACTGAGGTAGACATATGTTATTCAGAATTCATTATATCAATTTATCTATACAAATAAACATAAAATAGGAAAAAGATAACTAAAATAAGAACAATCTTTAATATCCTATTATTTATATTATTTCATAAAATAAAAACAATTAGAAGATAACAACATTGAGACAAAAACAAATAAAATAAGAACAAATTTAGAATATCTTATTATTTATATTATTTCATAAAATAAGAATAATGAGAAAATAAAAACATTTAAAAAATAAATAAAATAAAAACAATATTCAAATATCCTATTATTTACATTGTTTCATAAAATAAGAACAATAACAAAATGATTTATTACTTGAAATAATGAAGAAGTCAACGGGCAATGATGGCATAGGGTTTAGGATATAAAAAAATCAAGAAATATCAAGAGATTCATAATATGATTTTAGGAAAAAAAAATTTATAAACAATATCAAACATGCATTTATCATTTAATATATGTCGAGCTTGTTAAATTAAATTTTTTTATAATTTCTCAAATATTGCGTTTCTAATGACAAAAATGTCATCTTTATATATATATTTTGTTTATAATTTCAAAATGTCGTATTTATTTAATTATCAAATACTGTGTTTATAATTCTATTTGCAATTTCACAAACATTGTGTTTAATTAAAAGATTATGTTTATAAAATCAAAACCTACTACTTATGTGCATGTTTATAAACTAAAACATAGTGGTTGGTTTTTTATCAAACTTTGTGTCTATTATGATAGAAACATTGTGTTTGTATCAAACATTGCATTTATGTAATAAAAATATTGTGGTTGTTTATAATGAATTTTTTTATTTGTTAAAAATTACGTTTATAATGAAAAAAATGTTGTTTTTTGAACTTTATCATATATATTTTTTATTCATAATATATTATCTTATTTTTAACATAATAAAAATGAAAAAAATTTTAATTTTTGTCATTTAATGGTTGTCACATATTTAATTTTAATAATATAATTAGCAATTGAATGTTTATCATGTGTAATTTACATATAATAAAAGATATTATAGTAAAAAAATTTTATTACGTAATTTAAGATTTTTTGAACTAAATACTAAAATTTAACATTTCTATAACAATAAAAATCACTTATTTCTAAAAATTTACACTTTCACAAAAATTATTTTTTCTCTTAAAATTTAAAATTTTATGAGTCAAATACCCCTAAATAAGTTTCACTAGGCCTAGAAGCTTCTGATTGGTGCTAATCGTGTCAGCATGATAAAATTCGAATGAAAAAAAGATGATGTTTAACTTAAAAAAAAAAAAGGTACAAATCCCACCGCATTGCTAGTCAGAGGGAATCCAAATGAACCATAAGTTGTATAACTAGTGGATTAGGTGGTCAGAGTAAAATATAGGTTTTCAAAAAAATTAGTTAAAATACTAGAGAATCTCAAAATTATTTTATTTTTTAAATAAAATTATATATTTTTATTATACATAAATAAATTTTCATTTTTTATTTATATTCAAATAAATTTTTATTTTAAACAAAATAATTATTTATATTAAAATTCAATTTAATTATAAATTAAAGATTAAAGATTTATTTGAATCTTATATAAATATATAAAAGTTAAAGTCTTCACTAAAAAAGAAAATAGTCTAATATAGATAGCTTATGTTTTTGAAATGTAGATAGGTTTAAAAAAATCACCATATATTCTATAATAAATGAAATTTATTTATTTAAAACATTTTTATTATTTTCTATAGAAACATTTTTATTACTTAAAAAATAATTAGTTAAACTAAATTAATTATATTTACTACATTTTAAATCTCCAATATTTTTAGCTTATATGAATAAGTTACAATTAATTTGGTCAATAATACAAATAAAAAAAGAAACTAAATAAAAATCTAATTATTCATGAATATATTTTTATATCATCTTATTACTTATGAAAAATTAAATGAAATTTAATGTAGTAAATAAAGAAAGATAAATGAGCCATTTAACAAGTTGACAATAATGATATCATTAAATTAGGGAAGGTATTATTTTTTTTATTAAAAAAGATAGCTAAGCAAGAATTCAAAATTTATAATTTTGAAGGAAAAACTACATTAATTTCATATCTTTTATTACTTATGACATTATACGATTAATAATGGTAACTTTTTAATATATTTATGATAATATTTCTTGATAATAATATAAATATAAATGTACTTCCAAAAAGAATATTAAAAAATTTAAATTTAATTATTCTCCAACTTTGTTTTTTCTGTAATTTTATCTTTATTATCTTATAAGAAATTTATTTTGTAGTCTTGCTTGCTATTCTTTTATAAATTTATTGAGGTTTTACTCATATATTTTTTTATTTGTAGAATTGTTAGGTTTTATGTTTAGAATAACAATTTTATCAACTATATATTTTAGTATAATTTTTTTCTTTTCTAATTTATAATTTAATGGTGAATTTTTTATATTTCTTATATATATGTTGAATGTGATGTTGCTAAATTTTTTTTTCTTTTGCAAGGTATTAATTAGCAAGGTTTTTATGATGATTTGTAAAGTTTTACAATCAGATGCCAAGGACGATTGATTAGTTTGGATGCTATTATGTTGAATACTCTACATTGGTTGGGAATTAAATCATAAGAATTGTCATATATTTTATTATAAGTCAAATCGACTTAAAATGATATAGTTGATTATAACTTGGGTTAATATGTTTTGGTTTCAATTGAAAATGAAAAAAATATTTTCTAAGTTTTTAGTGAATGAAGTTTTAGATGATATATGGGGTGTTAGTTAGTAATTTTTACAAATCTTATAAAAAATAGAACAAATTCTTCAATTTTATGAAATTTACCACTTATTTCATTTAACAAGTCTTAAAATTTTGGAAATATTAAAACTATAATTGAAACTTTTATATTCAATTTCTTATATTCTTCTATATTTCTTTTTTAAATAGACATTCTTAATTTGATTTCTTTTCTAATAAATAGATATTTCAAGGTGCCATTTGATATGCCTATAATTCATAATAAAAACACACACAATGTTAAAATGAAATGCCAATGGTTTAGTTTTAATGTAAGTTCAAACTCCTTCCTAATATATATATATATATATATATATATATATATTAATAAAACTCTTTCATCAATTTGAAGAAAATATCCATACAATTAAGTTCTAAATTTGATATATTAATATTACAAAAAAATTTCTATAATTAAAATCAAAATTTATTTTCACATTATATTTTTTAAACATGTAACTTTAATTAATTATTTCTATGTCCCCTTAAAATTAGGTCAATATATATGCTATTAGATTTAAAGAGACAATTATATTTTAGATATTCAACATAGATTATAACCTTGAAAGAAGCGGAGAGTTTTTAATTATTTTAAGTAAAATTGGAATTGTTGATTTTATTTATACATTTAGGGAAATAAAGTAGCAAATTATATTGCTGATTCTTTAACTAAGATGAGAATGAAAAAACAAAATTATTTTATGCATGTTGGTAATAGACTCCAAGGGAGTTCGGTTGTGTGTATTATTTTTTTTTAAGAAATTAGATAATGTGTATTATTAAGTATTGTTACAATTATTTTTCTATTTATGCATTAAACTCTAGTGACATTCTTTAAGTTTTGTAATCCACTGATTTAATGAATGAAATTATTTTTTTAAATGAGAACAAAAATCTACTACAAACTTTTTTGTTTTGTATTTTTATATCTTTATTTTTAATAATTTAATTAAGATTATTTATTAAATTGTAAAAAAAATGATAATAAAAAATTATTTAGAGTGACTTAAGTTTTTTTGTCAACTATTATCAATATATTTGTAATTATGAAAATAAAATTTAAATTATTCTCTAAAATTGTAATTATATTAAAATTTGAAATAATATTATATTAAAAAATTATTATAGATACATTTACCTTGTGCATAACACAAATATAAAATTCTAAATTTTTAAATGAGTAATATTTGACAATTAATTTTTTTAAATTGAAAAAAATAAAAGTTTCTTAATTGTAAATTTTTGTAGTTACATAATATTTTTAAATATTTGATAAAAATTAAAACTTAATTTTTTAACGTTATAAAAAAGGGGTATATTAAATATAGCCACATATTTATTATGCTGATATAAATCTTTTAATATTTTACTCATAATTTTTTAAAAATTAATAATATTATATATAACCAAAATTATATTTTGCCTGTGCATAGCGCAGATTTAAAAATAATATAAATTAAAGATTTACAATTTATTTAATTGTAAATTAGAATTCAAAGATTTATTTAAGTGTATTAAAAATATAAAAACTTAGATGCTAAATTAAGTGTTAAAAGATAAGTGTTTTTTTTATTATTATTTTAGAAAAAAAAAAGGGGTTGTATTTACACTTTTGTTCCCCGTCCAAACGGTAAGGTAACTTGGGTTTTCAAATCTAGGCTGCGTGATTTGGAGTTTGAGACTAGACTCTGGCGCTCCTCCATTTTTTCCAATTCTTCTCATTTCATTCTAATTCCATCAGGTACGCTTTGATCCATGGTTCTTTTATCATGCCCAATATGTTTTTCCTGGCGATCTCAAATTTAAGGCGATCTAAGCTTCGTTGCTAATCGGATCTCTTTCTATATAAACCCTAATTTATTATATTCTGGACCGTTAAGCTCTAAGGGATTTTCACATTATATTAACTTAGCTATAATTTCTGTTTGGTTCCTGAGAAAATGGAAAGGAGGACAACTCCATTTGTCTTTGTTAAAATCTTTACGCCAAACAAGTAGTTTATTTTAACTAATCAGTTGCTTTTAGATCTCAAATCTTTATTTATCCAAAAAAAAAAAAATCCCAAATCTTCTTTCTCTTTGGTACAGAGTTCACGTGCTTGGTAAGGCAATTTCTAATTTCACATCTGCTATGCATTTTGCAGGTTAATTCCATTGTTGGTGAATTTCATAAAAAATAAATGAAAATTGTTTAGAGCCATGTTGCCGTCTAGGTTTTCTTTCTTTGGAGGTGGGGGATCAAAAAAGGTTGGAAATTCTGTGGAAGGCGGTAGAAGTGAATTGAATCCAACATTAAAACTGCAAACAGATAGAGATGTGTATAGAGCTGGAGATTCTGTTTATGTTACAATTGAGATCTGCAATCCCCTTACTAGTGACAATTCTGGTAGCACTGTACCTTCCCTTTTGATTGAAAGGCTTGGCTTCGAGATTAAAGGGATCGAGAAGTTGGATACGCAATGGTTTGCCACCCAAAAACCATTGGCTGGAACAAAAAGAAAGAGAGGTTGGTACAGCACATGTGTAGAATTAAATGAATTAGTTGTTCTTTTAGATCATCAACTTCTTGTATTTCAATTCATTTTTGATGGATGGTGAAAGGAAGTGAGGAATGTAAGTAAATTTCTGATTTACTTAGAATGTATATTAAAGAGATTAAATTCAAAGTTTTTATGTTTCATACTTCCTCAAGGAGAAAGAAGTCAGATCAGTGTACAGGAGTTTGTCTAAATTGCTAAATGCTAACATTTTTCATTTTCTTCTCACATTGTAGCATTCATGTAATCTGTTGATTCTGGGCGATTTAGTCGTCATCATCTCTTTGAATTTAAGTTAATTGCATTAGCCATTTGCATTTTCTTTTAATCCGGGATATGAGTAGAACTGAAACTGATACTGGAAAGAAAGAAAAAGATCCTATTCTTTGCATTGCCCAATTACTCTTTCTTTGTTTTTTAATCTTTTTGTATATTTTATATTTACATTTTTTGTTCTCAATCCTTTTCAGGTGAACATGTCTTTTTGGACTGTTCAACACCATCAATGGTTTCAAATCAGATTGTGCCTTCTGGCTCTGCAAAAACTTGTTAGTCTTTTTCCTGCCTTTGTCTTATTGTTTTGTGTATGTATGCTAGTGCACGTGTGTGATGCTTGTTCTTCATTCTTTCTGGAAATCTATTTATCCATTATAATATGCAATTAATGCTTCTTTTGAAGCAGATAAAATGAGAATACTGATCTTGCTGTCTTAATGACTTCATGCCTTCGTGTTCTGGTCAAACTCCCATTTTGCAAAATGAAAATTGCATGATACTATGTTGTTTAAGAATTACCACCTGGAATAATACTTCATTCAGTTCATTGACTTTTTAGAGAGAAAAACAGTAACTAGAAGGATGAATTTTATCATAAGAGAAACCAGAAGGAAGAAAGTACAAATGCTAAGTATATTATCAGCAAAAAAGGCTAAATATGCGGAAATGAGATTTCCTGGATGAAAGCTAAATTGCATTATTGGTAAATGTCACCATAGCTAATTGTGTTACAGTGGGCATCCAGTCATGCAATGTTTTGAATTGAATACTTATGGTTTTCAGCAAATTGTATTTGGTTCTATGGTTATTTTTTGCGGCTTTCCACCTTACTATCATTTCATTATTCTGATTCAACATGATTTGGTTCGTAACTAACTTTTGACTCCATCTGTAGATGTGGTATGGGCTGTGCTACCAAGTATTATACCACCATCTTACAAGGGTGCTACCATTCGTTATTTATATTATGTTAAGAGTACTCTATCTGTTCGATGGCTGATACTGGAAAATGGTCACTCCAGCGAGGAATCAGTAAAAGATCTTACCGAAGTGGTTGGTTTTGCTTTATTTTCATAATTTTTTATAAAGGATCCCAAAATTATCTTCGGTTCTTGTCTTTCAGAATTAGACTTGTTTGACTTGCTGATAATGCTCGTGAAAATAGGAATCATGTTAAACTTTTTGGTGACGAAGCTTCTTTTGACCTAAGGCTAAGGTGGTGTGTGCGTTAGAAACTTGCCCCACTGGAAAGGGGAAAAAAATAGAAGAATCTGACAGTCATAAGTTTTTTTGTTGATTCATATGTGAGAGGAGCAATTAAGATTGATGGCTATTTTTACACTTGAATAAATGTTGATACTTGTCCAAGGTTTCTGTTTGTGGATTTAGGTCTGAGGTCTTTAAAATCCTTGGATCTGTAATGGTTTTGTCATTTGCTCAGTCTTGTGATGCTTGTTACATCATTTGTGCACTTATATTCAATATTGAATATAATTTACCTTTCTCCTGTTATATCTGGCTCATTATTGAATATATAAATTCATAGTTATGCACATATGGATATGTTGGCATATCCATGCATGTGTTTCTCTGCTTGCTTTTGTCCTCATTCACACCTGTGGATCTTGGAGAGAACTTGTAAATGTCCTAGTCCAGTTCTCCAAATTACAAATACTGTCAAAGAGTTATGATGTTGATGATATTTAAGAACTTTGAATTCCAATAGGAGGCCCGTGTTCCTTTGCAAGTATGGGTAACTCAGAAAAGAAACGGCTTGGTAATGGGAGATGGTCAAAGTGATGGTAAGTTATTATTTCAAGTTTCAACATCACAATCACAGTCACTTTTACTTCTCTCTCTCTTTCTCTGTCGTTTAAATTATTAAATATGGTGAAATCATTGACAAGCAGTAGCTTTCGCTTTTCATATGACGAGCATGTATTTCTAGTCAAGAATTTTCACTAAGTTTTAGGATATACATATAGGAAGACTTAGTTATGTAAGAATTTAAATCTTAAGCAAAGGTTGGTATGTTTTGATTATTGCTTGATTTTGTTTCTGGTGGTGTTTTCTCTTTCCCCTCTCATAGAGCTAACTTTAATGTCGTAAACATTTTATTCTTGCATGGTATGAGGAAGAAATTGAATAATTTGAACCTGATTTAACAATGACTTAATTTTGAAGCACAGTTGAAAAAGTTACATCGTTTTTACTCTTGGAATTTGAGTTTGTGAGGGGTGTCTGTAAAACAGGCGTCTTAATATACAAAAAAAATGGCATGATGGCTATGTTTCTCTCTTGATGATTTAGGTATTGTTCCTGCTACAACCATCCAGACGGATACATACTGGAAAGAGATGGGTGGAGATGCAGAATGGGTAAGGCTGTTAGTAGTGCTGTTAATGCTTTTGACTTACTGTTTGAGTTAATGATTGCTTAGTAAATTGATATTAGTTACAGGCTAGAGTGAGTGACATGTATGATGGTGTTGAGGAAGGGTATGAGAGCTCAAGGGATGAAATATCATCTGTTTCATCCTATAATCCTTCAAAGGAAAATCTGTATAAAACCTTTGGAAGTTCCCTATCCTTGCAATCAACAGACCGTTTGAGTTTATCTTCAAATGTTGGACTTCCTCGGTTATCAGTAGCAGAGGTCTTGCATGATTCTAATGCTGGTAATTAAGTTATTCTTGATTATGTACAGTCACTATTTGCAATGAGCTATCTTCCTCTCCTTTTGTCATCATACTTACATGATTATGCTTTCTGTTTGATTGTTGTAATTACTATTAAGTTTTTCATATCTCCTGCTGAAGTAATGTCATTTGTTTGATTCGATTTTTTCTGATCCTGAGAATGCCTTTTGAATAGATATTTTGCCAGCAGAGAAGCCATCGGCCATTTTATCTCCAAGTCAGCAGTGGACTCCTACAAGATCCCTAGCTGCGGATGATATAACAGGAGTATCTTCTGCACCGAGCCCAAGAGCCACTGAGTCTGTGGCATGTAAAGTATCAGATTTTCTGCCCCCATTTTAATGTTTTGTTACTCATGTATCATGAATCTAGCCTTGAGCTGTTTAATATGTGAATCCTGGTAAATTTATTTGTTCTAAACATTTTCTGCAGCAGAAGGCTTTATTCGAGGAAGGTCTTATAATATCAGGATGGATGACCAAATTTTGCTAAGATTTTCCCCTAAGAATTCTGAGTCCACGTATTACTTCAGTGATATGGTAAAATCAGTTTTAGCTGGTAGCTTCTGTCACCTTGCCTGAATTTGCATCCATTGTTTCTCCTCTTATTGTTTTTATTTTACCTGTTTCAATAACAGATAGGCGGGACTCTTACTTTCTTTCATGAAGAAGGCACTAGAAGATGCCTTGAGGTAACTGCATATTATGACCAAGTTGAGAAACTACTAAATGAGTGAAGAAATTACTAACTTTTGAATGATGCATCTTGAAGTTGATTGGAAGAATTGCTGTCTTGTAGGTTTCAGTCACGCTGGAAACTTCTGAGACTATAAATCGACGTTTTGTTCATCCTTCCAGAAGGAATTCTCCAACAATTACAAAGGTTTGCCTATCCATTTTTTTTTTTTTTTTGATTCTACAGTGAGTTACATTGGTGGATTTATGAACTAGAGTGTTATATAATTATGTAGATTAAACTCAATTAAATTCCTGGTCTGTTTTGGCATGCATGAAACCCATGATAATTATGTTTTCTAACTTTCACTCTATCCAGCTACATGCAAACATTCATTATTTGTATGCTTGGAAAGTGACACCATTGCAAATGCTTGTTGTTTGTTAAGAAGTTCTGGGTTGTTACAATCCTTATCCTTTTCACCTCTTGTTTCCCGTGTTTTTCTTTTTTCTTTTTTCAGATAGTGTTCATTATCCCGAGGGCTTTCATTTTCCAAAAGAAACCCCCTTTTTATGATTTTAATTAAACATTCCTTTATAAAAAAAGAACGAAAATGAATGTGGGAGTGAAATAATAATTGAATCTTGAGGTGGTTTATTCTTCAAATTATGGTTCTTATAGTTGTTAGTCATTCTGTCTCTGAGAATGAGCATTGTCTTTGCCATCTGATTGCTTGTGCCCGGGTACAAGCATTTCCTATAATAAATGTGTGTTTTTTTGGCTTTTAAGTTACAAACTGTTTCTTTTAGGATGCTTTTATGAAGCTTTAGGAAGCAAGATAAGAAACCTAATATTTTTCTACACAATGCCATAGTAATCCTGTTTATTCATTTTCTTGTAGGTTCAAAGCGATCATCATGAGGTTGTTGCTGATTTGGTACAGACAAGTTTTCTCTTTTCTATTCCCATGGATGGCCCCATGTCCTTTTCCACTCCTCATGTCTCGGTGCAATGGGCTCTAAGATTTGAATTTTTCACTACTCCAAAGAATGTAGATTGGACAAGGTATGACTAAGTGGTACTGCAACCAAATTGTTCTAGCTTTATCCAAAGAGTTTGTTATTAATGATTCACTTGGCATTGGAGATTGTCAACAGGTTGTATGCTTGTGGGTTATATGCATATACTATTATTACCTCTTTGCTGTGGCAGCAAATTTTTTCATATCTTTTAAGAATATTGGGACATGGTATTAGCAAAAGAGAAGCGAATAATCCAAGAATATCAACTTTTTGATAAAATTATTATAATCTTCCAGCAACTGGGTATATACAGTTTGAATTTTATGTCATTCCTCCAAAAGAAATTTTCCTATTTGTGAAGGTTTTTTAATATGATTTGTAAGTTGAATTCCATTTCTTCTGTGGTTATATAAAAATCTCATGTAAATTGTTACCTAAATTTGAAAATGTTATACAAGAGAGGTTACACTTTGACTCCGAAGTTGAAATGGCTTAAAATTGGTTTAATCTATTCATATTTTTATTGAACTTTAGTAGAAGATTTCTGCTTTAGCTGTTGCCAAATATAATTGTTAAGCTGTGCTACAACTTCTTGATTTTGAAATCAGATATGAGCACCCTCTTTTAATAGAAGGTAGAGACAAAAGTGAGTGGGTTCTTCCTATAACTGTGCATGCACCTCCAACTGGAACTCCAGCCGCCCACACTAGGAATGAGAAACCTTTCTCTTTAGAGTCCTTGTGGGTTCATGGTTGAAGGTAACATGTCTCAACTTTGTTAGTAACTGAATTTCTGTAGTAATATATATCTTTGTTGAATCTCTGAAATAACTGCCGAATAGCTCAGTCCTTTATTTTGTTAGTATTGTTTGGAGACCGATTTGATCTTCAGGAGTCTGAAACTCAGTTTCTTATTTCTTTGGTCTCATCATTTTTTATATAAGATTTTAATATTCAACTTTTGTGACCCGAAATTTCTTTATTTTGGAGTAGCTGGAATCAATAGTGTAAGCATTTGTACCTGTCTTTTATTGTTGGGAAGCAGATGGGAAAATATACCTAATAGTTTTAGAGTTTAATGATATGATAAATATTGTTTGTTCTGTTGTTGGGAATTAGTTTTGCGGAAAAGAGCTCCCAGGCGTCACAGTTGAATGGCATAGCTTTTTGACTGGCGAGACTTTGAGGTTCACAGTAAATGCATTGGCACCTGGCTATAAATGCAGGCAATGTGGAGCATGTAACGGTTTTTGCATCCAAGTTACCCCCACGATATCAATAGCCTTTTCTCTTCTTTGTCTATTAAGAAAGCCTGCACCATAAAGCAGAAGGGATGAAATTATGGGAGACGAATCAAATGTGAAGGAAATCAAACAACAATGGTCTGTGTCAATACATGTCCCACAGCTCCATGTATTTGTTGACTTGCAAATGTTAACTAATAATAGAAGCAAATATTAACTAATGATGAGATGATTTTATAATTTCTTGTTTATTTTTTGAAAGTTTAATCTATCTTGAACTTCTTATCTTCATATTTATCTGATTGAAAAAAAAAATATATATATATATATATATATAAATTGTTTGTAATTCTGTAATTTTTAAATGTCAGTTTCATTGTTATCAATTAATCTTTTCTAATAATAGAAGCATTTGGGTTAAGCTTTGCTAGTGATTTTAAAACTTAAATTTAGCCCAAAGATATAATTATATTATTAAATAATATATTTTATTTTATTTAATCATAAAATATTTTTTATGACAAGATATTAAATTATTTTTAAATATCTAATAATAAATATTAAATCGACAGGTTGGATCTGGATCGGTGTGGGTCTTACTATTCTGGCTGCTTAGGAGCCAGCCTGAAACGGGAATCATTACAGGCCAAGCTCCAGAATCTATAACTGGGATAATTAAAGCTTAACATCTTCTTCATAGAGCCTAAGATTCAACCCAAACCAAAATTCGAACACCAGTTTGGTCCCATTAAAATATAATCGAAAAACGACCAGGGACCGTCGAGGCTCCAACTGACGCTCCGGATGTTGCACGTGCAATTTCAACTGCTTCAGAAAAAAATGTTTAAATATAGGAAAAAGCTCTTAAAAAAATTAAATAATTATTTAAATTTTTATCATTTTATTATAATCAAAACATTTATTTTTATTTAATTGAGTAATCAAAATTTTATTTTATTTAATTAAATTCTTAAATATTTATTTTTATCTACTTAAATTTTTTATTAAATAAAAATTAATGTTAATAGTTAATTAAATTTCGTCTAATAAAAATTTAATTAATAAAAATAAATATTTAAAAATCTAATTGACAATAAAAATTTAAATGAATATTTCAGATTTTTTATATTTATTCAAAAAAAAAAAAAAAAAAAACGAGTCATACGCCGCATTTGCGGACATGCAAAAACCCTACTGCCCCTTTGGCAGTGTTTAAAGCGTTCAGACTTCCATCGCTCGTATACTATATAATCCACATTTTCTCGACTGCTTCCTCTCAAAACCCTAAAACCCCCAAAATATCTGTAGCAGTAGTAGGGTTTTGCAACTTTTGCAGATCCCGCTGTTTGTTCTCTATCAAAATTTAAAAGATCCTAACTCCGGTTTCAACCTTTTTCCTCTAACTATGGGAAAATCAAGCAAGAAATCAACCCCCAAAGTACTCTTTTTCTTTCATTTTTTAAAAACTCTTAATAACTTTCTCCGGTTGATTTTGTCGGCTTTTCTTTCAAATCGTTTATTTTTTAATTCTTAGTTTTGGTTTAATTTTGCGTTTTTCTTTTATCTTTTATAGGTTGAAGCAGCTCCTGCTGTAGCTCCTCCTCAGTCTGGAAAGAAAGGTATTTTTTTTCTATTTTCTATTTTCTCTTTGTTTTTGGTTTTGAATTTTAAATTTTTTTTGTTTTATCATCAAGATGTGTGATAAAGTTTCAAGATTTTTAGATTGATTTGCATTATAGGAGAACTGCTTGATTTTGACGGTTTTTATTGTTCTTTGTGTTTCTGAAACTATGGGATTTTTTTTTCATCTTTTATGATTATATAGGCAAGAGAGAAGCTGAAGAAACTCCTGAAAAACAAGTGGCTGCAAAAAAGCAGCAGAAAAACGATGGAGTAGCACAGGCTATTGTGAAGAAGAAGGTTGAAGCAAAGACTCCAAAAAAGAAGAAACACGAAACTAGTAGTTCTTCCGATGACTCTTCTGACTCCGAGGATGTATGCAAAAAGCAACTGCTCTTTTACTTATGATTCTACGTTTGTTGCTCTTGATATTTGATTTATGCTGATAGTTGACTTTTCATTCTGTGTTCTGTTTTGTGTGGGTTGCTTTTATTATGTATTGGCTTTGACCTATTTATATATTTTTAGACTTTTAGCTTTTACTTCTCTTAAGTATCTAGGTAACACATTCATACGATAATACTAAAATGAAGCATATGAAGGCATGTTTGTATCTGCTTTGCCTATTTTAATGTTAAATTTTTTTCGTTCAGGAACCTGCACCCCTGAAGAAACAGCCAACTATTGCCAAGAATGGCTCTGTACCTGCAAAGAAAGCAAAACAAGCTAGCAGTTCAGATTCTGAGTCTAGTAGTGAGGAAGATTCATCCTCCAATGAAGTGAGTATTCTTCTCATGCTTATAACATTTGCATTGTTGCACATGTTCTTTTTTATGATTGTTAATGTTCAATTTTTCCCCAGGAAGCTCCTGCTCAGAATAAAAAACGTGTAGTTGCTAAAAATGGCTCTGTTCCAGCTGCTAAGGCAGTGAAAGCTGATAGCAGTTCAGATTCTTCTTCTGATGATGATTCCGATGAGGATGATGTGAGTGTTGAGGCTAATGTTAGACAGAACATAAGAGTTCCTATACAAGCTGTTGACTTTATCTTTGTTGTTGAATTTTGATTTAGGAGCCTGCTGCAAAAACAAAGGTAGCAGCTGTTAAAAATGGATCTGCATCTGTTAAGAAAGGCAAGTCCTCTAGCAGCTCAGATTCTTCAGATGAAGATGAAGTAAGTGCTGGATTGTTGAATGGTGTTTGCTTTTTAATTGGATTGGGAACTTTTGTGATTGTAATTTATACATGTAATGTTTTGCATATACAGGAAAAATCAAAGCCTGCCTCTAAGAAAGGACCTACTGCCCTTCCTAAAAAGGGGTTGAGTGATAGTTCTGAAAGTGATAGCTCTTCGGATGAAGAGGATGTGAGTGTTGGGTGCAAACATGTGTCGGAAAGCATGTTAAAATTTGGTTTTATAATAGATCTAGACATCCTTATAAGAACTTCCTGTTTATTGGTATTGAATTATTTTTGACTTTTTATAATTCCGCTAATTGAATATATACTTGTATAGGAACCTCCTCAAAAGGCTACATTGCCAACTTCTGCTTTAAAGAATGTACCTTCAGTGACTGCAAAGAGTAAAACTGAATCAAGCGATAGCAGCTCTGAGGAGGATTCTGATGAAGAGGTGTGATGTCTCATTCATACAGTTTCTCCTTTTTATGTTCTTTTTTTTTTGGTTTTTGTACATATTTCATTGATTCTGTTTCACTGCACTAGGATGTAAAAAAAGCAACTGTTGTGAAGAAAGCTTCTGCTCCTACGCCCAAGAAAATTGAGGATTCCAGTAGTAGCTCCTCTGATGATAGTGATTCTGAGGAAGAAGAGGTTTGCTTTAACTTTTGAATTTGTTAGTATTACAGTTTCAGTTTGATAATGGTTCTTTATCTTTTGTAATTCTAATTATCAATGAATAAATAAGGAGGCTTTTCCTTTTAATGTTTGTGTTCATGTTAAACTTGTAATGATTTGGTACCTCATTAATATCACACTGTAGGCTCCTTCAAACAAAGTTCCTGTTGCTTCAAAGAGGCCACTACCCACAGCTGAGACAAAACCATCAAAACAGGTTGCTCCCGCTTACATTTTGTGCTTGTAATTGCTCTCCTGGTCATTGGCATTTTTCTCTAGGAGTAGGACAATTACCGTGCATTGATGGGCTTGTATTCTCCTGTGCAATAATGTGACAGTGTATTTTGGCTTTTTGCTAAATATATTGATATGAGGAGGATCTTGCACCTTTGCTTTCCTTGAAATTTTTTTTGGGTTGATGAGGTTTATTTTGTCATATGTATTTCTAGCCAGTGATGGTTTTCTGAGACTGCTCAGCAACTCTAATTTATCTAAGGAGTTAATTGATTCAGGGATGTAAATCTTTGAACATTATTTATGAGTTTCAACATTGTTTGAAATGTAACGAAAGTATTCTCCTGTGCATTAATGGGACAGTGTATTTTGTTTTTGTTTTTTTTTTTTTTGCTAAATATATTGATACGGGGAGGATAATGTACCTTTGCTTTCGTTGAATTTTTTGGGTTGATGAGGTGTATCTTGGCACATGTTTTTCTTGCTAATTTTCCCTCTCACTTCGTAGGAAAGTGATGATAGCTCTGATGAAAGTGAGGATGAGCAACCTGCTGCCAAAAAGGTCAAATTTTCTTGATCATTTGTGTTTCTCTAGATGTTTCTTTTATTGTTGTTCTAGTATCAAATTTACTAAATTGTCCAATTCTATAAGCTGCAGTCCAAGGTTGCTTCAGATGGTGGAAAAGATGCTAAAGTTAAAAAAGTAAGCAGTAGTGAAGAGGAATCTGAAGAATCATCTGATGATGATGAGGAAAGTGATGAAGAAGAAACTCCAAAGAAAAAAGTACAGATCTTTGGAATCTGTCTTCTGCTTTATAATTTTGGAAGGTTGAAAGGTGATTTTCTAATGTAGTGTTGTACTTTTATTAATATTGGACTCAGGACACAGATGTAGAAATGGTGGATTCAACAACACCACAGAAAATTGCCAAGCAACAGGATTTGAAGTCTGGGAAGAAAGCTGTAAGTGCCAATTTCCCTTTGAGTTTCTTTCTAATCTCATTCCAATTTCTTGTTTTGGCTCATTCTATCGAACAGGTTGGAATCTGATGAGAAATTTTTTTGCAGCCCCAAACTCCTGCAACTCCTCAAGTTCAATCTACAGGATCAAAGACACTGTTTGTTGGAAACTTATCTTATCAAATTGAAGAAGCTGATGTGTACGTTTGGGTTCTCTGGTCCCTCTAAATTGATTTATTTTATTTTATTTTCATATGATCAATTTTATATTACAGAAAGAATTTCTTTAAAGATGTTGGTGAGGTTGTGGATGTACGCTTTTCCACTGATGCTGAAGGGAACTTTAAGGGCTTTGGACATGTTGAATTTGCTACTGCAGAGGCTGCACAGAAGGTAGATTTCTGTCTTTCAATTTTGGATTGCACATGGATGTCTGATGTATAAACTAGATTTTTGCTTATGTTTTCTGCAAGTAATCAATTAATGCCTTTGTGTCAATTTTTTGGATAATAATAGATTTGGCAAGCATATGATTATTGTATGCTTGTGAATATGTATCCATTTGATTCGATTGATTTTTGCTTGAGTTAGATGATGAAAAATAATCATGTGCTTGTGCATGTGATATGGAATAACTGTTGGCATATGAGGTTGTAAGGTCTTCTTTAATGAATTAATAATGTCAATTATGAAAAATAAGCTGCTGAAATTTAGTATTGAAATCTGTAAGCACTGTATTCATACTGTAATTAGATATTGGTTTAGATTTTTGTAGAAATGGCATGATTTTCTCAAATTGTATGTTAAGTAAATGATGATTCATATTAAAATATTCTATGAATGGTTTCTTAAATTTTGTGACCAACCTTTTAAAAATTTTTAACACATTAATAGAATTCCAAATGTATTTGCTTTCATACTTCTTTGTTCTTGGGTAAGCAATTGTAAAGTTATTAGCTAACATCATCCTTTATTGCAGGCTCTAGAATTGAATGGTGAGTATTTGATGAATCGTGCTGTTAGACTTGATTTGGCCCGTGAAAGGGGTGCATTTACACCACACAGCAGGTAATTTTTTCCCTATCTCAATATAAGAATTGGTATATAACTTTTGCACCCCCCGATCTAGATATTGCTATTTGATTGGATTAATTTATTCAACTTATTTCCCTCACCATTCTTTGCAGCAATGGGAACAATTCGTTCCAGAAAGGTGGAAGAGGTCAGGTTCGGACAATATTTGTCAAAGGATTTGATCAATCTCTTGATCAGGATGAGGTTAGTGATTTGCTTTGAATATTAGATTTTGTTGCTCTGTCCTTCTTTCCTCCACTTGTTATTTGAAATTTATTTGTATTTATATATCTGCTGTGTCCAAAACATTCTCAGATTAAGAGTTCCTTGGAAGAGCACTTTGGTTCTTGTGGAGAGATTTCTCGGGTGGCAATACCAGTAGATCGGGAGACTGGTGCTGTGAAAGGGTTTGTATCTATAGTTGCTGTGATTTTTGTTGTTCTGAAAATTCCTGTTTTCTGATGTTTTTGCTTCTGTAGTTTTCTATTGTTTTTTCACATCAATTTACTTGCATTTCCCCTTTTATCCTTTTCTTTACTGATTGACATGTTTATATGAGATGGAGCCTCCTAAGATTGTAGATAAGCTTAAGCTTGGTGCTTTAGCTAGCTTAATGCCAGATAAATAGCTAAGTAGAACTTAGTCAATTACTGCAAGTTGGATGTGATCTATAATTTTGGTATATGCAGTTACCTTGTTGATGTCTCCTTGAATGTTTCAATATTGGACTATCCTTGTTTGAAAATAATTTTTTTCCTTGTAATTTTAATATCTCGGAAGTATTCTTGTGATGCTTAGTGGTACTCCATATCTGATTATATGCAATCAATTGCAGTTTTGCTTATTTGGATTTCAAGGATGGTGATAGTTTGAACAAAGCTCTAGAACTCAATGGATCAGAACTCAATAATTATTCCCTGTCTGTGGATGAGGCAAAACCAAGAGGTGAATTCCGTGATGGTCCTGGCAGTGGAAGAGGTGGTGGGAGGAGTGGTGGAAGGAGTGGAGGAAGGGATGGTAGTGGCCGTGGTGGATGGAGTGGGGGAAGGGATGGTGGTGGTCGTGGAGGTAGGCGTGGGGGTGGTCGATTTGGTGGTGCTGGCAGAGGACGTGGGACACCTAATAAGCCAAATCTCGCCGTTGCTGGCACAGGTATTTACTATTGCCGCTTGTTTGACTTGCATTAATTCTTTTTTCTGTTGAGATAGATTGATATTGCGGCTTGTTTTGCTTAAATTAAATTCATTTTTTGCTAGATACATCAGTTGGAGATAGATGGGCATCTTCTCATGGCCTTCTCATTATTTTTTTTTTCTAATGCAGGAAAGAAGACTACTTTTAATGATGAGGATTAATCAATTGTGGGATCGAATAGTCTCCTTTCGCCCCCTGCCATCTGGTCCCTGCTTATGTTTAAGCAGAAAATGTTGTTGGTAGATTATAATTTTGGCTATCCACTTTCGTTTTGTTATTATCTTAATTTTGTCGAAGATTTTGAAATGTTATAGTACTTTGATATCCTGTTTTATTGTTTGTTAATTTATCAGAATTTGCCATGTTTTTCAAAAATAAACTTGACGCTTTAGCTAAGAAATTTCCAAAATTATCATAAAATTGTAGTATCTGTTCTATAATCCTAGACACAGTAAATTCCAATTTCATTCAGAAGTTTAAGGGCCTACCCAAAGGTGTATACAAATATATATTATTTGGGCATGAAGTGTTGCTGGTGTCAATGGTATTGGTAGCTCAGAACTGAAACCTTGGCTTGGAGTCCTTCTTGAACGTAGACAAAACTACATTCCGAACCTGGCTTCAACACTCCAAGCCATTGCGGAAGCTCATAGGTGTTCTTGACTGGGGTTGGTGAGAGGCCCCATAATGACCCTGAGAGATCTTCCACCAACAGTTTAACATCTGTTATTGGCTGTCGAGATGTATTCTTGATTGTTACCTTGTGTCGGTAGTAAGTTGTTTTCCCAACATTCCATGCACCGGTTATTGAGTGAATAAACTGAACTGGGACACCTGAACATTTTGCAAAAACAAGATTATCAGAATTTAACTACAGAAAATATTTAAGAAGTTATATTGGGGGTTCCATTTTGCTCTATTTACCTGAAGCTGTTGTGCTAGGTACCGGTGTTTGCTGGTGACGGTCGTCTGGAAGTATAAAAATATGAACTTGATGAGATGCTGTTGGGAAAAATGATTGTTTAGATTCGAAGAAAAAGAAAGACTTTCTTACCTTGTGTTGGTTGGTTTGTTGTTGATTCTTTCTGGTACGGACCTGTGAAATTTAGGTCATGAAAATTTGAATTTTACAAGCTTGGCAGCAATGAATTTATTATTTACTTCAATTTCTTAATTCTGATTAGTTTTGCGCAAGTGAGATGGGAAATGCATTGTTTTTACCTATGTTTCCAAATAGGCTTTCCAGCTTAGAGAAGAGGCCGACAAGGGGCGCAGAGCCAGAAAGTGTGGGCTCCGTTTGCTCATAATTGGAACGGTCATCATTGAAGTTATCATTCTGGTCAGGTCCTCCCACCAGAGCTCCGTATATGACATTAGGATTTGCTTCAGGGCGGCGGTACCAGTCCTCAAACCCTTGGACGCAGCTCACTGTCGAAGGAAGAACTGAGATTGAGGCTATTGATGCACCTCTGTGGTGGACGTGAATTGGATATTTTGGTCCATAACCAACCAAGTAGCTCATAGACTTGGGATTTTTGCCAAGAATGTAATCAGCCTGTGCAACATATCCATGCAATATAAGTCAATAAGTAAAATGTACGAAGCTTTTCATTCCAGGAAGCAACAAGAAGCAAATAAAACCATATTATAAGGAAATTAAGGATGCAAAATTCGTGCTATCTCAAAGTAAGTAATGAGAAACATTTCCAAGTTCAAGGCAAAAGATCAATGTACATGTTCGGTCGTGCAAATGACGTATTTTCGAAGTATTTAAGGCAAAACTGGAGCAGTTTCAATGGCGAAAGGCGTCAAACAGGTTGATAACTAGTTTTATTTTGTTATCAGTTATTTAATTTGAAGTCAATTCTTTGTGACGGCAAAGTATAGATAATACCCGTGACTTGGCAAAATTTAGAACTTCAATAGGTTGAATTTGGCCATCAGGACAAGTGAGTTTGGCATTTGCTGCAGAGAGATAATCAGAGTAGACAGCAAGAAGAAATGCCGCAGCTGAGGCATATTGCATATTGTTCCATTCACGAACATACATTAAACCTCCTGGCAAAGAAACAAAAGCAGATAAAGATTAAGGTGTCACACTAAGAAGGTAAAGAACCCATCAAACAAAGAATTGCAGGCCAATCAAATAAGGATTTCATCAAACAATACTAACCCGGTGTCAGGTGGACATTATAGCCATCATTCTTTTGCAGACAAGCACAGGCAAAGTAATCTGCTTTGGCCTGATATTGCTTCAGTGTTGAAGTGTATGCACTACCTTTTTGCTCCATTAATACCTGTCATAGCTCAACTAATCTTTAACTGCCTATTTTTTTTTATACAAAAGAGGCCGTAGCCATAAGACTAGATGAGAGAAGAGGTTGCAGGTACTGGAATTTCAATTTAGACCTATTAAAAATGTCACCCCTTAAAAGTGACTGAAATAATTGAGTTACGGGCTCCTATTTTTTGTAGTACTTATTTCTATTCAATATTAGCATTATTTGTGAATGAGATGACAGAAAGTCATTCAACTTGCAATTGTGTGCATTAACCCCGGGAGATTTGGGGCTAAACAAGGTTTCAAAACCCACAAAGGGTGAACAAATCAATCAACATCGAATTTCTTTTACCTTAGAAAGAAGGATTTGCACACCAGCATACTTGTTGTCCCAAGAGAATTCTTTGACAGCCCATCCAGTTCCACCCATGTAGACAGCATTGTCTACAACATACTTCAGATACTGCTCCTCACCAGTTGCTAGGAATAGCCAAGTGGCAGCCCACAATAGTTCATCCTTCACCAAAGAAAAATTCATTGAGAAAAAAATGAATATCCGTACATGTAGAGGGATGAGATGAACAAGGTTTAGGCATTATATTACTTACCGAATAACCGGATGATGGGTAAAACTGCTTAGCACATTGGATGGAATCATCGTATAGACCTCTAAATCTATCTGCAAATGAGAAAAGCTGCAAAATATGAAGATTAAAACGTCAGTGAAAATGTGGACTTTTTCCCTTTATATTTCTATTAATAGAACATTGGGACTGATAGATGTTCTTGCCTTTTTGGCATGAACTACGAGGAGATCCGAGTAAGAAGAGTTGTAAGGCTTGAAAGCTATTGCAGCTGCAGCCAAAGCAGCAGCAGTTTCACCAGCAAGGTCAGAGCCTGGATGATCCTGGTCGAGCTTGAAAGCTGTTCTAGGAGTTGTCATGTCTTCTGCACGTTCCCAACAGTAATGATCAGAGTCCCCATCGCCAACCTGATCAATCATACATTATACCATTTCATAGCATATCCACACGTCAGTCCATATACATTAACTGTGAAAAAACATTGAAAAAGCAAATAACCCTTTGATAGAAAGGTTATTCAATTTAATTAGAAAATATATATTTTCGGATATTTGTCAATATAGGTCGGTGAGTTTGTTTTTATATCATTTACCTAAGAGCATGTATCTAATTTGATATGATGTTTCTACCAACAAAATTAAAATCTTAATGTCATTTACTTAAAAGATGTCATCCGCTGAGATTCAAATCTCTAATTAATCTTTTTCCATGTCTCAAGCTACAATCTTTGTAAAAAATAAGGGCCCTTAATGAAAGAAAATGTGAAAATATAGCTTCAAGATTAAGGATAAAGTTAATACAAAGATTATTGACTAAATTCAACGCTTGGCTAATCACTAATGAAAGTAATACGAAACAGGTTACCAAACTGGGGGTCTTACAATTTTCTCTTCCTAAAAGCTCCTACCTGTCCCCAAAGAACGTTCGGCTGTGTGTGAGCCTTGATGAAGTAGTCAGTGCCCCATCTGATCGCCGACAAAGTCTGACCCATTTGGTTTAAATTGGTGATCTCCCTCCTGTATTCAGTAGTTCCCCATGCAAGCATTGTGACACTAAATGCCATTGGCAGCCCAAACTTCACATGGTCCCCTGCATCATAGTATCCTCCTACCAAGTCCACCTGCATTCCAACACCAAAACAAGTTAAAACAAATTCCAGCTTCAATCATTTAGAAGTTAATTGAAGCAAGCTTCAATCATATTTAAATGATTTAATTACCCCTTGAAGAGAGCCGTCCTTGAGGCCTGAGTCACCCCGCCACTTGACACGCCGGTCCAAGGGTAGTTTACCAGACCTTTGTGCCTCGAAAAACATGTAGGTTTTGTCAAGAGCTTCACCATAGTTGAACTCAGCCGCTGCAATAGCTGCCTGAAATCCCAGTAGTACCCCAACCAGGACAAGGCAGACACCAAAGTTTAAGTTGTTCATGATTAGGCAGCCTGGATTGAGCTTAACTCAAAAAATTAAAACACACAACACAATTGTCCAACTCTGGCTATGCATCTTTGCCTCTTATGTCAACATTGCTTTTATAGGGAGATGGACTTAAGATTTGAAGAAATGAACATGTTCAAAAATTTGTCTGATATTTGATTACATGGTGATAATGGTAGCCTTCACGTTTTAATTTTAAGTTTCTAACAATCAAGTAGAGCTGCTCACGTTGTATATTATTGTATATGTTATATTTAAAAGTTGACAATAATATAGTGCAAGATTCAATGGAAACATGTATTTTTTTTTTTGTTAAAACTATTCAAAATGTCTTTTGTCAACCTTTATTTATTTATTGATTTGTTGTGATATTGTTGCTACATATTCATAATTATAGAGTAATAATACTTTTATTATAATTAAAATCTCTCTTTAAAAGACTACAAACATAGTTATAAAATGACATTTGAATAAGTTTTTAGGTAAAATAAAGAAATAACTTTGACACAAGGAATGATCAATTCACTCTCTAGTTTAATTTTAGTTGTTTTACATGCCGACCCAATAAAAAAGATGTTGACAAATACCCTTTCTTTGTAAAAAGAAACACACAAATAGTATATATCTTAGCAATAGTAAGAATAGCAAAGAGAGAACTTAAATGTCTGTATACTTAATTTTATAGAAAATGAGAAAGGAGAAGGTGTTCATGTGGGATTCGATCCTTCCTTTATTTTTCATTATTTTTTTAATTTTATTATTTGATTTTTTTAATTTTTTTATTAAAAAATTTTATAAAAAAAAGTTTAAAAAAGTAGTTAGGTAAGAATAATAAAATATTTCATATCTAGTTAGTTTTAATTTATAATGATCCAACCTATGTGTATTTTTTTTTTTTGAAATCGAGATCAAGTTATGATTTTTTTTTTTGAAAATGAAATCAAGTTGAAAATAGATTTAAAGTGTTCAATCCCATCTTAGGTATCCGCATGACACTTCTTTTCTTTTTTTTTTTCAATTATTTTTTAAAGTTTTTGCTTTTTTTATGTTTAAAATTTTTTACTTTTATTTTTCTATTAAATAAATTTTGTAATAAAAAAATTTAATTGAGATAAAAGTAATAAAATAATTTGTATCTAATAAGTTTTAATTTGTCCTTATCCAATTGGTATGCTTTTTTTTTTAATTTGAAATAATTTAGATTGAGTTTTATGTTTTAAATCGAATTCAAATAAAAATAAGATTTTGGATATTATGTTTTGATTTTGGTATATATATAAAAATATATTTTTTATTATTTATTTAATTCTATATTTCTATATGTATTTTATTAAAAATATTATTTAATACCTTAATTTAATAAATTTACATGTAATTTCATTTTTTTTGTTATTTTCTATGTTTTTTAAAATTTTATTGATAAATATTATAACGAAAAAGTAAATTAATATAAGGATAACAAAACAACTTATATATATTGGATTTTGATTGGTCACTATTTAATGCATTTTTTAAAAATAATAAATAGGTTAAAAATTATTTTTTTGAATAATTTAAGTCAAGTTAAAATTAGGTTTGGAGTATTTTGCTCGACTTCCCTCAAGAAATATAAACGAATATATTTAATTAATTATTTAATTTATATTTGTATATATATATGTATTATATTAATAAAAATATTATTTAGTATCTTAATTTAATAAAAAATTATATTTATATATAATTAAGTTGTAATATATATAATTAAATTATAATTTACATTAAAAAATTATTATAATTATATTTGTCTATATATTGTTATTCATTAAAATTTGATATAAAAAATTTACCTCTCTCATTTTTAAAATATAATTTAAAAAAATAAAAAAAATGCAATGAACCGAGTCTAATTTTAATTAATATTAATTTTGAAACTTGAATTTTTAAAATCCCACAAATAAAATTAGAGAATTGCATTAAATATGCTAAAGCCAATTATTTTAATGTCATAACCAGTTAATGTCGAATTTGCATGACCTTTGATGCTGGGAAACAAAAACAAATAAAAAAAGTGAATGTGCCTCTCTAGCCTAATAAAGTAATAATTGACGAAAACAAAGAAAAAACGGAAAAATGGAGATGCGGGGTATCGATCCCCGTACCTCTCGCATGCTAAGCGAGCGCTCTACCATCTGAGCTACATCCCCGTATGAAAGGCCGACGATTATCATCTTATAAAACGTTTCCAAAAAAAAAAAAGGGGAAGATTTCAGTCGTAAGAGTAGAATGTTCAATCGTAAGATTTCAATCCAGATTTTGACGCTCAAAAGAGCCTGCGTGGACGTTGATATATTCGGATAAGAAACAACAGAAAACAAGAGCGAGCTGAGCTCCAACTTTCAACTGAATAACAATGGCAATGACCAATCTTCAAGTGAGTGATTGCTCCAAACTAAAACCTTCCTTAACATCTTTCTTCGCTCCTCGCCTTCTCCATCGCCCCCAAACGCAAACCCAGCCGCGTTTCATCTCCCAAGCTTCTCTCCAACAACCCCACCATTCTACTTCTTCTTCTTCTTCATCGCCGCCGACACTTGTCAACCGAAGACAACTTATATCCCAAATGGCCTCGCTTTCGCTCTCCGTTGCAACTCTCTCGGCTTTGCAACTACCGGCCAAGTCCGAGGAAGTTTTGTCCGAATGGGAGAGAGTTTACCTGCCCGTCGATCCCGGTGTCGTCCTTCTAGACATCGCCTTTGTCCCAGATGACTTAAACCACGGTTTCTCTTCTTTCTTTCACTTATTAATGAATCTAAAATTCCTTCTTCTTTGGGTTAATGGAGCTGAGTATGTAATTTCTTTTTATATAGGATTTTTGCTGGGAACAAGGCAGACTATTATGGAGACAAAAGATGGGGGAAATACATGGATTCCACGTTCAATCCCATCAGCTGAGGATGAAGATTTCAACTATAGGTTTAACTCTATTAGCTTCAAAGGCAACGAAGGTTGGATTGTTGGGAAACCTTCAATTTTGTTGTACACTTCAGATGCTGGAGAAAGCTGGGAAAGAATTCCAATAAGTGCTCAACTTCCTGGAGATATGGTCCGCTCTCTATCTTATTACATCTTTATGCCAACCATTAATGGTCCTCACTTAAACCTGTTTTGCCCCATATTTTGCATTTCGATTTTCAAGTAAAGGTACTTGTTAAGGTGATTTTTTTTTAGATATTGTGGCATTAAATGTAGCCGTAGATATAGTGATGCCACGAGTTTAAGTTGATTAAATGAAGATACTTCCTTGAAGCTTATGATTTGTTTCATTGTGGGGCTGTTGTTGTCAATTTATTTGCTAGCATTTCAGATTTTGTGTGTGTAGGAATATGGCTTTTGTAAAGACTGGTGATTTAAGTGATTGAGTAAAATCATCTGGATTTGTGCAGGTATATATAAAGGCAACTGGTGAAAAGAGCGCGGAAATGGTAACTGACCAAGGTGCAATATATGTTACATCAAATAGGGGCTATAACTGGAGAGCTGCTGTTCAGGAAACAGTCTCAGCTACTCTGAATAGGTATGCATCTGTTTAAAATGAAGTTTAAGTGCGATGCATGATGTTTCAGAGTAGCTTTATTACTGAGGAGTTTATCTGTGTAAACCAGTTGAAACCAGTGAAACAGAAGCTAGAATTTGAAAACAAAATTAAGTTTAGGATAATTGCTTTTATATTCATGTTTACATTGATGTGCTCACTCAAGTTTACTAGTGTTATCATATGCCCTTTACAAATTAAAAGGAGAAGTGCACTATGTAAAGTAAGTTAACATGCCTTAAACAAATTGGGTTTCTAGGAAATTAGGTACGCTATGAGCCCTTTCCCGTGAAGAACTTCCATAAGATTATTAACTGTATGTGGGGGAAAATGCTCACATTGCTTCATTACTTCTGCAGAACAGTTTCTAGTGGTATTAGTGGGGCAAGTTACTATACTGGAACTTTTAACACTGTGAACCGCTCTCCAGATGGACGATATGTAGCTGTCTCAAGCCGTGGTAACTTTTATCTTACATGGGAGCCTGGACAGGTATAATTCCTTCTGCATGGCTGTTTTATAGGATTCATGGGCTTGCCTCTCTTTTGAGGTCTTCATACATTCGTACTGTATGTCTGTAAAGTAACATAAAATATTATTGTTATGTAGAAAAAATGTATCAGGAGAATGCTTGCTCATAACCAATATTATTAAAGTTGAAACATTGTTGTTAGAAGTCATGCTTCTGCATAAATGCGTATAATTGACTCTTCATTGGTGAGATACGAGTCTTGTGCTGTTTTGTTTTTTTTTTTTTTTAATTCTCAATGATCCACTTGCTCGTGGTACTGAATGACATTAATTGTGTATATTTGGAGCAGAAGAATCTGGTCTCTTTTTATCTTTTATTTTTCAGTTTTGACTTTTCATATTCTTTCTTATATTGTAAAACTAATGTGTCCTGTTGCGAATTCCTATTTTTAGTTTCAATTAAGTATATGCAGCATACTTAACGACCGCTATTGCTTCATAATTTACAGCCATTCTGGCAACCACATAACAGAGCAGTTGCAAGAAGAATACAGAACATGGGGTGGAGGGCTGATGGTGGTCTTTGGCTTCTTGTCCGTGGAGGAGAACTTTTTCTTAGCAAAGGCACAGGGGTAAGAGAAGTGATGATATCCACTATTTTAGACATGTGAATGTTTATATTTATCTCGATGAAATTCTAATAATATGCACAGAAGATACAATTTTCTTGATTTGGTTTAGAAAAATAATTTTCATTTAATAAAGTTTTCAATTTTCTATATTAATTTTAAAGATTATTACTGAAAAACCTAGCATGAATTTTTCCTAAAAGATGTAATTGGACACTGCTAATAGCTTGATATAATATTCAGTGAACTCGATGGACCAAGAGAATGCAGCACATGACTCTGTCATGAATGCAATTGCTTGCTACCTTTTGCACCATCTATAGTAATAAAATCTGAATATTGTCATCTCATATTATTCTTAATATAATCTTGTATGAGTTTGTTTGGTTTATGGCTTTTAAATTGCCACTGATGTCTACTTTGGCATGGTCATTTTAATTTCTGATGTTTCAGCTAACAGAAGATTTTGAAGAAGTTCCTATACAAAGTCGTGGCTTTGGCATTCTTGATGTTGGTTTTCGATCAATGGTAACTATTATTATCCTTAGATGTTTGGCCTCATATTTTTATCTAATTCTATAGTGTGGCTTCAAGAAGACCTGGATAACTGCTTGCAGCATCCATTTCCTGTGTCAGTCATCTATATGTGCACATGTATAATGGCCTGTCCATTTAGATGAAATTACTGGTTTAGCTCATGATATGGGAATATCAAGATGATAAGCATGTGATATATCCATCTAGCAAATTAAATGAATATTGTTCTGACATTTTGTTCCAAGGTTTCTGAAATGCATACTAACTGAATTTTGGTTGTGCAGGAAGAGGCTTGGGCAGCAGGGGGCAGTGGGGTTTTGTTGAGAACTACCAATGGAGGAAAGAGTTGGACCCGTGACAAGGCAGCTGATAATATTGCTGCAAATCTATACTCAGTGAAGTGAGTATAATCTTACTAAAAGCTTGACTCTTTCATTCTCCTAATTTTGGTCTGAATGTGCATAATTTCAGGGTTAACTATTTACTGCCCTTATCATCAAAATCTGTATGCTCCTTTTGGTACCTAATATTGAAATCTTAAATTCATGTTTCCCAGTAAACTTAAACCCATGAGGCATTATGTGTTGGGATTTGCCTTGAATCTCAGAATCCCACATCGAAAGTTAAGTAAGTTTGAATTTGTCTTGTATCCCACATCGGGAGTTTAGTAAAGGTATAAAGGGTTTTATAAATAAGATGTTTTGGTTTTAGTTTAGTAACCCCAGAGAGTTAGATACTAAGAGAATAGCTAAGTGAGTAAGCTATTAAAAGGGTGTAATTGGGTTTTGGGTTAAGTTTTGAGTAAGGAGTTTTAGAAGATTTTTCTCATTCTAAAAGTCTCACAATTGTAAAGATTTATTTGATAGTGGATTAGGTTTGGAGTAGGCCATTTTGAGTTGGGCCGAACCAAATATATTTGTGTGTTCTTATTCTTGATTTGAGCTTGTTATTTTGTGTGTGGTTGCTGCGCGTGGGTGTTGTTTTTCCCAACAAGTGGTATCAGAGTCAGGTTCGAGATCGTGAAGCAGTGTTTGAAGATGTTTGAAGAAGGTATGTCTAGTATGTCTATGCCTAAGTTTGAGATTCCGTTATTTGATGAAAAGAGTAATTTTATTGTTGTGACAAAGTACGATTCAAGATCTATTAGTACAACAAGGATTGGATCAGGCATTAGAGAATAGTAAGTCTGATGCTAATTGGAGGTTTAAGGTTTGTGGGTCCAAGAGATCGTGAAGCAGTGTTTGAAGATGTCTGAAGAAGGTATGTCTGGTATGTCTATGCCTAAGTTTGAGATTCCGTTATTTGATGAAAAGAGTAATTTTATGTTGTGGCAAAGTACGATTCAAGATCTATTAGTACAACAAGGATTGGATCAGGCATTAGAGAATAGTAAGCCTGAGGGAATGTCTGACGCTAATTGGAATAAGATTCAGAAGAAAGCTATTAGTACTATTAGATTAGCGTTAGCTCCAGAGGTAAAATACAGTGTGTTGACTGAGAGTACTCCGAAAAATTTATGGGATAAGCTTGAAGGTATTTATGCTTCGAAGTCGTTGACTAATAGATTATGTTTGAAGATGGATCTATATTCTCTAAAGATAGAAGAAGGTATGAGTCTTCATAATCACCTGAATGAGTTTAATAGATTGGTTTCTCAATTGCTAGCGATTTCTGTTGATGAGTTAAAAGATGAAGAAAAGGCTTTAATTTTGCTGTCATCTTTGCCCAAGTCTTATAGGCCTTTAGTTTAGACTGTGTTGGTGGGCAGGTCTACTTTGAAGTTGGATGATGTGACTGCCTTGTTGCGTGAGAATGAAAGGTTTATGGGAGCTCCGAACTCATCACCTGGGGGAGTACACTAGCTGTAGAGGGTTTTGATCGAGGGAGGACTCAAAAGAGGATTGATGGATCAAGATGGAGATCTAAGTCAAGAGACAGAGATTACAGTAATGTAGAATGTTATAATTGTGGTGAGAAGGGACATATCCAAGTGCGCTGCAGGAAGCTGAGAAGGGATACGGCTGCTTTCAAAAAGGCAAATGATGAAAAGAAATCAGATGAAAAAAAGAGTGATACTGCTACTGTCGTGTCTGATGATGATGATGTTGTTTTGACAACTTGTGTGGATGAGACCCAGACTTTGAAAAGTGATAAAGGTTGGGTTTTAGATTCAGCTGCTACAGTTCATGTTTGCAATGATAAGAGTTGCTTTGTGGAGTTGGATGAGAATGAAAAGTATGGAGATATTGTGGTTGCTAATGAAGAAAAGGTGCAGATTCAAGGCATTGGGAGTGTTCGCCTTAGATCTCACAATGGTGTCATTAGGACACTTCGTCATGTAAGGTATGTACCAAATTGTCACTACAATTTGATTGCTTTGGGTGAGTTAGCTTCTCAGGGGTATACATTTTATGGTAGTAATGAGCGGTTGAAAGTGTATAAGAATGATAGTGTGATTCTACAAGGGAATAGGGTCAATCACTTGTACATGTTTGATGGAGGCTCAGTTGCTGGAATGCTTGTGATGAAAGAAAAGAAGAAAGGTAAGCATGTTAGCTTTGCAGATATATTGAAGTGTTTGGAGATTCAAGTCAATGGAGGATTTGTTGGGATTTGCCTTGAATCTCAGAATCTCACATCGAAAGTTAAGTAAGTTGGAATTAAGAAAGGTAAGCATGTTAGCTTTGCAGATACTATTGAAGTGTTTGGAGATTCAAGTCAATGGAGGATTTGTTGGGATTTGCCTTAATCTCAGAATCTCACATCGAAAGTTAAGTAAGTTTGAATTTGTCTTGTATCCCACATCGGGAGTTTAGTAGGCAGTTTAGTAAAGTTATAAAGGGTTTCACCCTTATAAATAAGATGTTTTGGTTTTAGTTTAGTAACCTCAGAGAGTTAGACACTAAGAGAATAGCTAAGTGAGTAGGCTATTAAAAAGGTGTAATTGAGTTTTGGGTTAAGTTTTGAGTAAGGAGTTTTAGGAGACTTTTCTCATTCTAAAAGTCTCACAATTGTAAAGATTTATTTGATAATGGATTAGGTTTGGAGTATGCCATTTTGAGTTGGGCCGAATCAAATATATTTGTGTGTTCTTATTCTTGATTTGAGCTTGTTATTTTGTGTGTGGTTGTTGCGCGTGGGTGTTGTTTTTCCCAACATTATGAAGTCAAACATGACTTCAAAAAAACCTTGCACATATAAACAAAGCCAAATATACTGGGAATTCATCAAGTAGGCATTTCTCTTATATTTAGTGGTTATTCCAGTTTTTTATTATTAAATGGAGGCAAACCTACTTTTTAACTTAAATTCAACTTAGTTATGGCTTAATAGTGGCCTACCTAATTCGAACCCAATAAGCATTATTCACAGAATAAGCTCACAGTGTACTTTATAAATTGCCTACCTCTGCAATAGTTCATATTTTTCAAACTGAATTGCTATTCATATCTTTAAAGGCAATTGATCTGTAAATCTTCTATGCAGGTTTATTAATGAGAAGAAGGGATTTGTGCTGGGTAATGATGGCGTCTTGCTCCGGTATCTTGGATAAAACTGTAATTTACACATGGTAATCAGTTGCAAAATCTATTTACCTTTGAACATAATTTTTCTCTTTTTACTTCGCGTATATCACGTGTTCTAACTATTCAACTGGAAGTGTTTCCACGGGGAATCAAATTCTCAAGTTGGTGGTAAATTTTTTGCTATGGAAAACGTTGGAATTGGAATTAAACTAATAGTATTTGTATTTGTGCAGGTATTCAACAATGCTTGAAATTTTGTATAAGCTTATTTTCACTGCTTTATTGGTGGTGATATTAAGAGGGACAAAAAGTTCCGTCCATGTGATTATGTTCTTTTCTTTTCTTTTTGGTGAGTGTGATTATGTATTTACCATTTCCATTCAACATCTGCATATGTTTGCCAAAAAAAAAAAAAACACATGTTATACCTATCAAGTGAGACCATGTTTTTCAGCTGGTTATGACAAATTACGATTTGATGCTGCTCAAGATTTGAGCTTCCTTCCCTTTACTACTTGAGAAAAATACTAACTTTTACGCATAAGACACCATTACCTTAAAAAAGATTTTACATTATTGGTAGATTTGATAATTTATGTATTCATATTGTATTTATATTTTTTTTTGTTAAACACACGTAAAATATAAAAATTATTATATCATAATATGTTAAATATGAAATATATTTTTTAATTTTTATTAAATTTAGATTTTTTTTGTCAAAATTATAAAGCGTGTTGTTTTAATTTATTTTTTTATTGTTTTCATAATTTATTATTATATTGTATTTGAAATTATTAAGTTTAATTACGTAGTTTCCATCACTATACTCTTTTCAAGTTTTAACGGTTCCTTGTGTTCGTCAACAGTTTGGCAAATTTCAGTCCTCACACATAGCCAACCAGAGGCGTGTTGGTCCTTGGGTTGACTGACATAAAAGCCAATTGGTTGTGTAATTTATACCATTTTTAGCCTTAGAAAATCATTTGTTCATAAGCTTTTAAACAATCCTTTTGGCCTTTTTAGTTTTGTTAGTGTTGATTAATTTCTAAGAAATCATGATTTTTCCTTCTTTCTTTTTTTTTTTCCACGACGTAAGAGAACTTCCTACTTGGTAAATGACAAAGTTCAAAAGGAAAAAGTTGGCAACACGTGAGAAAAACTGTAGGTAAAGATAAATTAGAATACCCTTCCAAGACATAGATGGAGCTGTGAAATACGGGAGCATTTGATTTATAATTTTTTTATTATAATTATAAAATTATTTAATTTTAATAAATAATTATATAGGCGCTTATTTATATATAAGTGTATATTCAATATAAAATTTTGATAAATTTTAAATAATTAATTATAATATAATTATTGTAAATGATATTATCCTAAAATATAAAGTGAGATTTTGGTCCTTGTTTTTTTAAACATGTGATTTTGGTTTACCTATAAAAATTTAACTGTTCAAAAGTGAGAAAGGATCCTCTCCATTCCTTACAAGCCAATGAAAGTTTTTACTACTTCATTTAAATATTCTTTCAACTAAATTTACGATGAATATTTATTCAAATTATTTAAATAATTTTAAATAATTTTATTTAATTTTAAATTATTAAATTTTAATCATAAATTTAGTTAAAAATTTATTTTTCACCTTTAAATGAAATAGTAAAAACTTCACTTTTTAAATAGTGAAGAATATCCTTTTCCTCAATTAAAATTAATTAGGAAGTATAGTATTACTAGGAGTCTTCGACTAGAGATACAAATTATTTTTCTTTTCAATACAATTTTTCATTCACTCAAAAAGGTTATTAATAAGAAACATATTAATTTAAGATAAATTATCAAATACAATAATAGTAAAATTTTAAATATCATAAGTGGGGTTAATATGATGACATAAATTGGTATATTTTAAAAAATAAAATAAAAATAAAACTATAGCATATGTTAATCTCTTAACACTGCATATAAAATTAAAAATTTACATTGATAGTTTATTAAATGTTACATTAATAACATATTAAATATTAATTCTTAATTCAATTGATTTATATAATTATTTTTAAAATATAACATAAAAATTTAAATTTAAATTTTAAAAATTACAATCTATTTTTTATTTTTTATTTTAACATCTTTTTTGTATATAAAAAAAAAATTTAGCTCCTGTAAAAAATAAAATAATAAAAATGATTTAATGAAACCTCGTACATTAAATAACAAATCAAGTCAACCATAGCAATGTAAAAAAAAAAAAACAAACAGGACCATCGTCTATTTTTATTTAGTAAAAAGATAAACCTTTTTTTTACATCTTTCATTATAAAATAGGTGAATAGAAAATTATAAATAAAGAAATTGGAGGCTAGACTAGAGGGGGCACGTTGTCGTTTGTATTTGTGAAATGTGACAAAATATAAAACAAAAACACTCGTCTATTTTACGTATATATATTTCATTTTGAGATGTACGTAACAAAAGCAAAAAAGACAGCAGCCCAATTTCGGCACAATGATACAATGAAGCCGAGTACCGACCGACAAAAGGGTTAGTAGGCAAAGAGGTACTGGGTTTCGGTGGCCACGTTCTACGATATAATGCCAGTTGTTTCCGCTCATTTTTCCTTTTCTGGTCAAAAGTCTCAATACCATCAAAACTTTCTCTTTTTTTTTTTTAATTTTAAATTTCTTGTCCTATTTATTTTATTATTTCAATTTTTTCCTTTTTTTTTTAGAAATAATAATTAATTTTGATAATCCTAAAATTGAAGGTTATCTCTGATTTTCTTTGTTTCTGTTTCTCGGTCTCTCTCTCTTTTGCTGAAAACAGAGAGGAGGATCTTTCATCCATTTTCCCGGAAATACTGGAGGAAACGTCCGATCTATTTAACTGCAAACTGAATTCCCTATCACCATTTCCCTGCCCTCCTCCTTTCTCTTTAGATCTACGTTTTTCCTTTCTGCAAAATCAATTTTTTTTTTACTTGAAAGGTTTAATTCTTTTATTCAATTCGATCCAAAATATGTCAGTTAGTTTCTCTCTTTTAATATTCCAGATTCGTTAAATTTCGATTCAGCTAAAAAAAAAAAAAGAAGGAGAAGAAGGAGAAGAATAGAACGTCAAATAGAGGGAAGTGATGAATTTAGGGTAAAGAAATAGGGATATTTTTTATCAAGGAAACAGGGAGTATGCAGATGGAAAGGGGGAGGCGGAATATCATTGCAAATGGAGGCTACAGTTTCAACAGGAATGACAATTATAGTAAATTTTGCAACTGTGTTTTAGAAAAACAAAAGAATCAAAGTTTGCCGGCTTCGCCGTTAGCAGCTGCCGGTTTCATTAAACATCCCGTGTCCCGGTTCGATACTCTGGCCGGCGTCGCCATCAAGTACGGCGTTGAGGTAACCATACTCATCCTTTAATTAATAATTTAGGATTCTGAAATCATTTTTTCCTTCTGTAAATCACACCATAGTTTCTGCTTATAAATGGGCATGTTTGTATATTTTGGGAAGTTAGTTTGGGAAACCGACCAATGGTAACCTAGAAGTTAAATCTAATTAGTTATCGGATTGTTTTCTTTATTTTTATTATGATTTATGGTTTGTGGAGGTATTGACAAATTTTTATCGGTATGGGTGTGAAATAATCAGGTAGCTGACATAAAAAAGATGAACGGTCTGGTGACGGATCTTCAAATGTTTGCTCTTAAGTCACTCCAGATCCCTTTACCAGGGCGGCATCCGCCATCACCTTGCTTGTCAAATGGTTCTGGAACACCAGGGTATTATATATATTTTTAATTCTAGTACTTTTTTTTCAATTCGGGAAACTATATTAACTTCTGCATTAAGATAGTTGCTAAAACAAGATGCATTTTCCATATTTGCACCTGTGTATGTTATCTTCATAACTTAAGAGTGCCATTTAGAAGAATTCATCAAGAAAATCAAAACTTGGTAAGTTATAAAAGTCAGTAAGTCATGCTTTATGGTAATGTCTTCTTGTGATTTTGACTTGAATTTTATTTTCGACTATGCATTGATGCATCTTTTATTCGTTTCTTTATATATATGGTCATGTGAGATCTTCTTGATACAAAAAATAATTAAGCGCATTCACTTATTAAATCAGTTTTTGGTCATGATGAAATTATGTCCATGCAAACAAACTTTTATAGCTTGTTGTGTCGGAAAAATTATATTTAACACGAACTATTTCAATAAATATTGTTTAAGGATTTATTAAATCTTTTCATTCCAACTATCATTGTCGTTTAATAGTTTTCGAATTTTTTAAGGTAATTAACGTTCATATCAGGACTGATAATTAATGCTAACACATCCAACAACTTTTTCTTGCTCGAATGAATGGCAATTTGCATGTAAAAGTTATTATCTGAATGTTAATTACATCATAGTAAGTGTTTTTCAGAAAATTGGATGATGGTGCTTATTCAAATTTGAAATCTAGGAGTTTAATGGGGATCCTAATTAGCCTATAAATATTGTTTTCTTTTTTGTACTTGTTTCCTTACCTTAGCAGTATTTTTTTTATTTTCCTTTATGATGTATATAGTTCTAGAGAGGATATATCCAGAAGCCTAAGACTTGCTAATTCATCCAAGGAAACATTTGTGTGATGATTCAAGAGTTGAGCCCAAATTGAATTTTTATTCAGTTTTGGGTGGTTCTATTGCTAGCATTCATGCCTAATGAAATGTTTCACTATTAGGAGTGGTAAGGTGGAAATGGCATTAAAAAGGCATTATTTTTGCCCATGAATCTTAGCAAGAGTTTCAGAGCTTTTCTGGTCTATGGTGGTAGTTTGCCCATGAGTTTAATCTATAGTTTCAGAGCTTTTGTATGATTCTGTAATAATCATGGCATAGGTAGTGATGAGTTGCAAAGTGGTTGGAGATTGTGGCAGTAGGTATTCTATGGTGATTTTTGGCCTGTAATGATAGCTGGTTCCCTGGTGTAAAATTAATGTGTTTTGCTGGTTATTGTAGTTGAAGCAGAGGGTTTTCATGTATAGCCACCTCTTAATTGAACTGCAGTTCTGCATTTTATCTGAAGAACACATGCTCGGACTCTTCATTAGTTGCTGGATGTAAAAATTTTATTTTCTGGGGACACTGCTTCAGATATTAATAATCCTATAGATTCGACACTTGGGGCCTAATAAGAAATGTTATCCAAGAAGTCATTTGTTAAGAAACTGATAATGAATATTTTAGTGGAGTAGTTTATATATGTGTGAAGTTCTTTCTAATTTCTCTCACCTTTAAAATCCTGCAAGATGCATCTCTGTTCTCTGTGGTTTCTACTTCTGTTCGGTTGTTACAATTTAGCTCACTATGTCTTGACAACTTTTTGCAGACAAAGCAGTGCCAACCAAACCGCAGCCCGACATTTGCCTCCTGATTTGCTTGACTCATTTCAGTCTCTGAGACTGAAGACTCCGCCTCGAAGGGTCTCCCCTGCAATGACCTCATTACAAGGTTACTATGGCCTTAATCCGACAGAAAAAAAGATGATTTCTGAAGGTTTTGAGATGGCAGTATACAGGAAAGGAGAAGCTCATTATCTAGAGGATGGTCCATTCCTTAAACCCTCCTCTGCTTCCAACCCACCTTTGAAGCTTCATCGGAAGTGTAGAAGTGTTGCTAATGGATTTTTTTGTGAGAATGGTGAAGTCATAGCTGATATCATGTCTGCTGGAGAAGTTAAAGAAGGTGAAGCTGATAAGTCAAATGAGAAACTGATCAGAAGACGGCAGAAATCTGAGAATGACTTTACTGCTCGTACCCCTGAAAGGCTGTTGAAGGAGGATAACACCAGTGGTGGAGGATTTTCAACAATAACAGCGAAAGGTTTGGCACTGAGATCCAAAGCAGCAAGCCGCACTAATTCGGGAGTCGATGTTGAGGTCACAGGGTTGAGTCCTTCTCCAACAGGTCTTGGAGATGGTTACGTGGTTGATGGATTTTCTATAGTGAGGAAGTCATCGAGCACATCGAATTTGCAAGATCAGGACAGTAGTAGTAGTAGTAGTTTGTCATCCCTGTGGCCAGCGTCTAAATGGGGTTTGAAGCCTGATTTACAAGCACTTTCAACTGTAGCCATTGCAAGACCTATTTTTGATGGATTGCCGAAGCCAATGTCCGGTCGTAAAAACAAAGCCGCTCTTGATTAGCTCCCTTCGCCTGCATCTATTCTCATTTTCATATCAATTTTTGACTACAATTTGTGAGGCCTCCAATTGCTAGCTCCCTGAGTACATATATAGAAAAATGAAAATAAGAAAAAAAGTCCAATAATGCAATAGTTTTCCTCAACTTATTTTAAACTGTCGTGTGTGTGTATGTATAATTTATTATTGTTTCGCTTCACTTTTAACCAAATTTTCATTGTTAGGTGTGGGTGAGTGCCGATCATGAATGCTGCGGATAAATTTGCAATACTGTCCGATCCGCAAAAGTCATCCACCTAATGCCTGAATAAAATTGAACTTATCTGGACTTTATAGTTAATAATTGTGTGACGGAGCCGAATCTATTCGACCACGCTAGACAGACGTGTTTTATGCCAACTTCTACAACCATTCCCTGAAAAATATAAATGAACCATGCAATTTTTTTTTTGTGTTTTATGTCAACTTCTCCAACCAATCCCTGGAAAATATAAATGAGCCATGCAATTTTTTTTTAAAATCTTCCCTCATAGACATAAACAGTTACTTTGTTTGATTAAAAAAAAAAAAAAAGAGTTTAAAAATTATGGTTTATTTGAAAACGTGATAGAAAAAATTTTTAACTTTCCATGATTTCCTTTCGTGATGGTTCAATTATAAAATACAAGAGTGATGCTATAAGAAAATTTCTTTTCATGTTAATCTAACTGTAAAGAATTATTCCCATCACGTTAATCGCAACTGTGGGAGAAGCAACAGATGTGAACTTTTGGACAACAAATACCACAATGTTGAAAAAGATTTAAGATTGTAAAGTTCGTTAACAACGCCTGACTAAATTTGATCAGTTGAATCTGTTCAATAAATTTTTAAGTAATTTATTGATATTACCCAATCCATTCAATTTGTAACATTGCAACAGTTTGACTTTCCATACTGATTAGTAAGCAAATCTACGAGAGATAGATATTTTGTAAGTCACTTGATCCAAAGGAAGAGGCTCTTTATTTTCAACAACACACTATCAAGATTAATCATTCGTGCCAATTATCAAGAAAAATAGAACTATATGCAGTTTTCTCGAACCATTTTTAGGTTCACAAGACACAGTCGAAGCCATTTAGCAATTACCATCACCATTTAGAAAACCACAGAAAACCAGTTCTCTACTCAACAGATATCACATGTCTCGCAGATCTCTATTTTATTACCCAACAAGCAGTAGTAACACCATTCCACAACAGCACTCCAACACCAGCTACTACCATTATTCATTTACACCAAAATTCAAATCTTTAGAATTGTTTCGAAATAACACCAAAATTAGTAATTTTCTCAGGAATAATGAATGTCTAAAATTATTTGGCAATTTTGCATTCCAAGGGCCATAGTCGTGTAAAACTTTTACACTAGGGTGTGAAGAATTTTCAAGGTGAAGGTAAGAATTTTTAATATTGATCCACGTAAACGGACAGAGAAATATAGACTAAACTTCAGCTAGAAATGAGACATTTGTGAGGAAATCAGTCATGTCAACCATCCTCCTTGCATTTAGCCCTAAAAAAAATGGAACCAGTGATGGAACAGCCAGCATATCCAGTTTGAGACTAGGCCTTGGTTGAGTCTAATTTCAAAAACTCCAATAGAACCTTCGGCTCCATGCGCTTCAAGATGTTTAACTTTCACATAGAACCCTAAGAAGCTAAGAAATTCAACATATCTCATACTTACCTTTATCCTACTACACAACATCTTTGAAAAATCTTGTCCTAAGTAGAGGTGTAATCGATCAAGTTCAAGCCAATACAAAATTAAGCTCGAGCTCTAGGTCAACTCTATATTCGAGGCTCAAAACTCAGCTCAAATTCGATTGAGTTTTAGTTTTTTAGCTCGAGTTCGACTTGAAATAGAAATCGAGCTACTCCAGTCCGCTCGATTAGGCTCGATTAACATGTAAAAATAAGTTCAATTCTTATATTCAACAAAAGTTCGATTATTTATACTCGAGTTCAAGATATTTTATCAATTAAAATAATTAAAATATATTAAAATATAAAAGTTCAATTAGGCTCGCAAGCAACTCGAGTCAGTTATAAGAATACTTGAATTCGACTCGATCGATAAGTCAAACTATTTGAACTTGAGCTCGATTCACTAATAATCAAGTCAAATTTGAATTTTATTCGAATCAAATCCGAGTAACTTACGAGCACTAATGTATTATTTACACCCCTAGTCTTAAGTAACCAACATTTGAAAATTGGAATCCGCAGATAAAAAATTCATTACGGAGCTTCCTTACGCACGGAGACTAAAATGCAGGTTAACAAGGTCGTGGCTCATTCTAGATTCAGCACATATGTATGACAAAAAAACTATCCTCTAGCTAAATCAAAATGAAAATATGGACAGTAAGAATCTTGTCCGCACTTTATGATTTATAATTTCCAGGCAACATTAAGCTTCTAATTTGGGGCATTTATTTTCAAAATCAAGAAGTGCAAAGAAGAAAAGGGAAGGATTATGCTTCAATTTTATTTTTTTTTTGGGTAGGGGTGGGAAGGGAGTTGGAAATCAAGTGTTTTAATCATTCGCATGTATTTCTTATTCTTCACCAATTCAGAGTAGTCTGCAAAAAAGTAGTATCATACACATTATGAGGCATAAAAACCAAGATCAACCATTGTCATAGCAAAAGCATTAAGCCTATCCATCTTATATGCAAACACTCATTCAAGTATACTTTTCCACTTAAGTGCACGTTCCTAAAAGATTTTAAAATAGAAATCTTTGCCAGCAAAACTTTATGCATCTGGTCTCATAAAAGTACTGATTAAAATAATAGCCAGCAAGGTCCCTAAATCTCAGAATAATTCCAGAAGCATAACATCAATCAACAGCCAAAAAACTGCGAGAAAAACAGTTAACCATGAAACTGGACAGCAGCAACAATTAATCACGAAAGAGCTTACCACCTCTAATTCTAAGTGGAACCTTTATCTATGCTCTCCTTGCTGTTTTTGTTATCTTTGCTATCTTTGGTTTCATTAGCAACGGCATCAGTGACCAGAGCCATAGGCCTTTGATCAATAACTTCATCAATTAACCCAAAATCTTTAGCCTCTTCCGGGGTCATAAAATAATCCCTATCCATATTCTTCTCAATTATATCAACCGACTGCCCCGTATGCTTGGAATACAATGCATTCAACGAATCCCAGACGCGAACAATCTGCTTAGTGTGAATGGTCATATCTTTAGCCTGGCCACTGTATCCACCAGAAGGCTGATGAATCATGATGGTGGCATTGGGGAGGGACCGCCTTTCACCCTTGGCGCCCGCAGCTAAAAGGAGTGAAGCCATGGATGCAGCTTGACCCAAACAGATTGTGTTAATGGGAGACTTAATGTACTGCATCGTATCATAAATTGCAAGGCCTGTACAAAAATTAATAAGAATATCGAGAATTACGATAGAATATAGTATCATTGAAATTGAAAAGGGGAAAAAGGGAAGGACCTGCAGTGACTTGGCCGCCAGGGGAGTTAAGGTACATGTGGATGGGTTTGGAGGGGTTTTCGGATTCGAGGAAGAGGAGCTGGGCGACGACGACGTGGGCAGTGTCGTCGTTTATGGGTCCGTTTATGCAAACGATCCTTTCCTTGAGGAGACGAGAGAATATGTCGTAAGCTCTCTCGCCGCGGGAGGAGTGCTCAATCACCATAGGTATAAGGCTGTAGTTTCGGTGGTTCGAACGGAATAGGGTTGCCATGGTTGAGATGGTGGTGGAAGAAATGAGCCGTTTGGTGGTTGAAATTAGGGCCCTCATGGTTGCCTCTGCGACAAGATCTGGCTAGGGTTTTGGACAACGGAAATGGACCAATGGGGGATATGATGGGTTTTACTTAGACTTAGGAGTCACACTAGCAAGTTTTCAGCTTTTGTGTCCAAGACCGGGAAAGTTCGGTTCTACTCATTCTTTCGGGGTTAAAACAATTGCTTTTAATTTATGTTTTTACAAAATTAAACTTGTGTTCAACATATTCACATTGGGTGTTAATTTCTCTAACTATTTCCAAAAAAACAAGAACATTAGATTATTTTCTTTGTCTAAATTTAGTAATTCCTGTATTTTTCATTAAATATATATTTATTTTTATCGAATCTATGTATTTTATTTGTAAATTTTAAATCATATACTTGCATATAATTTTTTCGTATAATTTTTTTATTTTGAAATCTTTTAAAATGCCAAATCTACTTTTTTTTTTTTTCTGTTTTGCTTTATCATATGAGGCTATAGAATTTAATCTAATCACTAATGCTTAAAAATATTTTTTTCTCTATTCCTTCTTAAATGGTTAAGGCCTCATTTGAACTAACTTTGATAATTCAATTCAAATTTATTGAATTTTGGTTTGATTTGATTTTATAAAATTATTTTTTATTAAATTAAATTTTAAATCAAATCAAATTAAATTTAAAAAAAATTAAAGTTGAATTTTAAATAAATTCATCCTACCCAATTTGATATATATAAAAAATATTTTTAATTAATTATTTAATTATATATTTATATTTAAAAATTATATTTTATATTTAAAAATTATATTTTATTAATTTCATCATTTATGATTTTAAGCATGTATGCATCGGATCAAATTTAAATATAAAAATAATATTTTTATATTAAATCAGATCGTGACGAATAAAAATCCATCTCTGGTTTGTATTGCACTGCACAACCTCAGGTGCAATTGCCATCAAAAGCCGTGCTTACTGGTCAGTGAAAACGCAAATGGGTTTCCTCTGCCGTGAGACCAATAAGATAGGCCCCTGGACTATTTGGGTTTAGTGGCCAATGCAATTTTTGTTTTCAAAATTTTAATGTTAATTAAAAAATACTCTGATTTTTTTTCATTTCAATTTTTTATTATATAATAAACTAATAAATAAAATTTATTATTATTGATAAATTAAAAAATAAATAAATTTTATTTTGATTTTTATTAATAATTTTTATATTTATTAACAAAACTATTATTTAAAATAAATTTATAAATTTTATAATATTTAAAATTTTATTTTAATACTTTTAATAATTATTTTTTCACTCCAATTCATCTTGTTATGCTATTTTTGTATCTAAATATATATAATTCAAATTTAATCATTACAAAAACTAATTTCATCACCACTAAACTTAATAATTTATGTTTTTATATTGTGTTTTTTATTTTGTGTTGTGTTTGACATGTGTAATGATATAAATTATTAAAATATGAATATATCATGAATTATAAAACATATTAAAATTTTAAACACGAACACAACATGTGATATGATACGATTCGCATGTGTATAATTAATCTGTTTAAACACAATATAAATAAACATAAATAATACTGATATAAAATGAATAGAGATGACTAATATTGATATATACAAATTGACATGATTAATATGAATATATATACATATAAATACAAATAAAATAATACTATAAATTATATATTATTTACAACTTAATAAACTTTACACATTAATAATATAAAAAATTACTTACATATTTAAAAATTAAAAAAATTCGATACCCATTTAATATGTATTTAATGTATATTTAAAATTTAATATATATTACATAACTATGTTAACTTTTAATATCAAATTCAAAATGATGAACTACTAAAAATTAAAGAATAAAATAATGATATTTAGTACTAGTATTAATATTTATATTATATTTATATTATTAATATAAAAAATAATTTTGTAATAATTATTAAATGAGTATCATAATTAATTGTTTAAAATAATTTTTATATGATATTGAATTGCTAATTAAGTATCATAATTAAAAGATTAAAAATTTAAATAATCTTTATATGTTTATATTAAAATAAAATAAATATAAAAAATTATGTTAAATATGTTAAATATGTTAAATATATATTCGTATGATAAAATTAAATTTATGTGTTTTTCGTGTTCTTTCACATGTTAAATGTGTATTTGTGTAACATGTTTTATTTAAACATATTTTTTTGTATCCTACAAGTATTTAGATATGTAAATACATATAAGATAAATTATATTGTATCAAAATTTATATAGATATAAATAAACAAAAAATACTTTTTTAAAAAATATATGTATAATTTTTTTCACATCATTTTTATATCATATCACTATATTTTATTTAGAATTATTAAATCTAATCATTATCGTTACTTTTATATCTAAATACATATGTTTTATAATCGATGTGGATTTAACCGATACAATGATTAATTTCAACTTTACCCTTGTTTCAATCTCACTCGTGCTATTCAATTTTACCGCTGTTTTGCTAATCAATTTTACCGCTGTTTTACTCCCACTGAAACCAATATCATCATTTGCATAAATGGAGATTATAGCCTCTTTCCTCACTGGAATTGATCCATTGAGAATTGAGAAAAGCAAATAATGCTAATTGTCTATCGTTTGCTGATTATCATTATCGTTATTATTATTAATTGAACAAGCTATTGTTATGACAGTTTAAAATTTTCGCTATCCCTCCTTTTATCTTACTACTTCCATCCCACTACCTTACATCAAATGGGAAGAGCTAAAACAGAACAAGGGTTTATGCTTGCCATGTGCTGATTTCCTCTTTTGGGAAAATACAGACATAGTTGAGAATTGAGATTCACTAAAAGTTACTTAAGAAGATCAGATTAAAAAATACAAGTGAAACAATTGCCAGCAGTGAGAACAACCGATGTCATTAAGAACACCATATCCTCTGAAAAAACATCAGAAAACTAAAAGCAAACTTAACAAAATTCCATATATTGCCTTAAGTTCCAACTACTGCAGCAAAGTAAACCCAAATAACGTTTGACATGAATAACACATTTAGAAAAGAGATGTTCCCTTCCCCTTCTTGTCTCCACCAATCTCGAAGTGCTTGCACCTCTGCAAGAACCAGTAACGAACAGTCAATGAAACAACATGGCAAAAACAAAAGCAAAATAGAACAGCAGGGGGGTTTGAGTGCACTAACCTTGATTGGATGCTGGGAGACATGCTTGCAACCCTGGCATTGTAGCCTTAGCACAATCTTCTTGGTCGTCTTTGCCTGTTCAGACGATACACAATCATATATAGACAAAGGCTTGGAGTCTCAAAAAATAGCAATAATCAAATTGACAAAATGATTAACTAAACATCCATTAGAAACTAGTACCAGAATATACAGCATAAGATTCTTGATCTTTATATAAGTAATATCAATCCAAGGAATAAAAGATAAGGGCCACATAAATTACCTTCTTGTGGAACACTGGTTTGGTCTGACCACCATAACCTGATTGTTTGCGATCGTACCGGCGCTTCCCTTGAGCAGCCAAACTATCCTTACCCTTCTTGTACTGTGTAACCTTGTGCAAAGTGTGCTTCCTGCACTCCTTGCTCTTGCAATAAGTCTTTTTGGTCTTAGGTACGTTGACCTGCAACACCAAGTCATAATTACTCTCAAAACAAAATAAAAAATAATAAATTTAGCAAACATTTCCTCAATGAAACCTAGATGAGACTTAATGGACAGCAAGAAACAAGCAGCACTGCCACCAACAAAATTTACCCTTCGCAATCTCATCAACTTATTTTATACTCGGATTTCTGAGAGAAACCTAAGGCTAGGACTATCAAGTCATGGTCAATTTTCAGATTAAAACATCCTAAAGTTATCATTGATTCACCAACATAGTATAAAATCTACATCTTTACTGGTGATTTCTTGAATATAAGTATCATGGAACATAAAAAAATAAATAAAAACTTAGTAACCTATCCTAAAAGCTGGGAAATATTACACTAAAGGCAGATAGACGAAAGTAATTTCAACATAAATTTCCAGGAAAAAAAAGAAAGGAAAGAAAAAAAAAAAAAAAAATCCAAACTCTACATCCCACTTCTCCCCACCCAATTGTTCTTACACAACCATAATCATAATAAACTTATTCGATTTGAATATTTCAATTTTACAAACATTTTGTCGAGGAAAAAACAGATCCAAAATAGATGCTCAAAACATGAAGGAAACCAAACAAAGAGGACGAAGAGTTAGTGGCAGAAAGAGAAAGTACCATGGCTGCGGCTGGTGAACTAGGAGGCAGACAATCCAACTCACAGTAATACAAATATATTGTTATTCTGAATCTAGGGTTTTCAAGGTTATTGGATTTTGGGCTAAATGAACAAAAGAGAAGAATTGAATAGAAAGAAAATTGTCACCATAATTCAACCCAAAATCACCTTTTGTGGCCCAATCATACTGGGGGCAGACCTGATTTAAAAGCCTTTACAGACCAAAGACCAACTTAAACCTAAAAAGAAAAAAAAAAAAAAACGTAATTTCTTCCTATTCTCCTTTTTAAATTTGTTTGCTTCACCATACATTTTAATCTATCTATAATTATAGTGAATTCAACATTCTAGGAACCCATAATGAAAAAATTATGAAATATTTTATGCATTATTTTTTTTCTTATTTTTGCTTTTGCTTTTCTCTTTTTTTTTATTTATTTTTATGTTTACTTAAAAATTCTTTAAAATATTTATAATTTAAAAAAATTTGAATAAAAAATAATAAAATATAAAAATAACCAATAATTTTTAAAACTTATTCAATAAAATTAGCCTTACAGCGATGCACAGGTAATCAAATTGAGTTGTGTTAGTCGTACTAAATTTTAAAAGCATTTTAAGTGTTATAAACTTGCTTTGTAGTTCCCTAGTGTTACCTTTAGTAAACAAGGCCTAATTTAAATTCTTACTAAACCATACCGACAAGTTCAGTATTTTTAGTATTAAACCTTAGTTAGTTTCTCATACTTGTTTGTAACCCTCTATTTTTTAATCTTAAGTTTAATTTAATAAATTCTTACAATCATTTTAGAAATAAAAACATCTAGTAAGTTTGAAATTCTATTCTCAAATCCTACATCTTTTTTTTTTTTTTTAGATTATGATTTCTTCTATAAAAAAAATCTATTCTTTTGTCACTGGGCCTACAAACAGTATGCTTAATTTGACAAGTTGCAACAGTTTTAACTAAAATTTTATATTTCATATATTAATGAATGAGAAATTATCAAATATATTAATAGTAATATTTTTTAACTCTACAAGTAAAGGTTAAAATGATAAGATACATCTCTTATGTATATTTAAAGAAAATAAAAAATTACTTAAAAAAAAGATATATATATATATATATCACTCTCTTAATCTTTACTTGTGAAGTTTAAAAATTAAATTGTTAGTATATCAAATAATTTTTCTTAATAAATACTAGTTAAACGAAAAAAAAAAAAAACATTAGAAGGCCAATGAAACTCGTTTTAAAGAACACACTTAAATTGAAGGGGAGCATATCACCTACAATTTTTTTTATTATAATATTACAATTGTCTAATCACAATAAAGAATTGTAAAGGAATCTATCATTTATAAATATGAGCTCCACATAAATTTTTATAGATCTTACATAATTTTAAATTATAATTGATTAATTATACTACTATTATTATAGGTGAAATACACTTCTTTTGAAGTTTCTAAATATTTCATACCATAAATTCAAAACAAATTGACCTATGCACATTCCTTCATGTAAAAATTGAGTTTTAAAAGTTGTAAATAAAAATGAAATATTGTGCAAAAATCATGATTGTGATTATAATTTATTTATAATTTTGAACTTTAATATATAAATAGCAACATGCTCGTGTCCAAAATTTTTTACTTGTAATTAATAATGTTTATGGTAAATTTAATAAATTAGTGAGTATAATTTCATTTTTAACTTTTTAGTAAAAGCTCATTTTTAATTTTTTTAATAAAAGCAATAAGTAATAAAAATTTATCAACTATTTTTTATATAATGTACGGATTTCATTTTTATAACTTGTATAACAAATCAAATACATATCAACTTCTTCAAATTTATCTTTCCAAACATAGGTAAAAAATATTAAAATAGATAATTAAAAAAATAAAAGAAAGCTAAAACTAAAAAAAAAAGAAAAAAAAAAAACGTCCATGCAAAAAGAAAAAAAAATAGAGATGTCACGTGAATATCATCACTTAGGGATGGTAATAGTTTAGGTAAGAGTGGGTTTAAACTTGTCCGGACTTCGACATGACGTTGGGTTACTATTTTTATATTCGACCCCAACATGATATATATAATCTGCATCCAATCTACTTGATCTTAAATCAATTAAATATGATTACATTTATGAAAATATTATTTTTCATTATAAATGACATATTAATTATATATAAATATAATATTTTATTAAATTAAAGTATTAAATAATAATTTTATTAATATAATACATACATATAAATATAAAATTAAATAAATAATAAAAAATAAATATTCTTATATATATCCCAAAAAAAAAACGAGCGGAGCACCTTAAACTTGTCTCCGACTGATCTCCATTTCCAAAAAGAAAAATCATCATGTCCCGATCTGACTTCAATTAAAAAAATCATTCCCATTACAATATATGTTAACAAGTTAATAACAATTCATTGGATATGAATTATTTTATTATTTTTATTTTTATTGATTTTTTTCGTATAAAATTTATTTAACTAAAAAAAAAAAAAAAAAAAAAAGAAAAAACAAATGAAGTGTTACGTGAATTTATTAAATTAATATATTAAATAGTAATTATATTAATATAATACATATTTGTGAAATTAAATAAATAATAATATAAATATGTAGGAGGTAAAACACGTTAAATTTGCCTTCGATCTACTCCAATTTTCAAAAAAAAAAAAATTTTCAACCCAATCGTGAACAAAAATTACACATTTAATATATAAGGATGAATCGAAATTTATCGAATACATATTGTTTTGTCATCTATACTTTCATTAACCATTTTTTTTATAAAATTTATATTTAAAAAAAAAAAAAGTAAAAAAGCAAAAAAGCCAAAAAAGAAATTTTAAAACTAAAAATAAAAAATACCATGTGAATACCTCAACCACGCTGCAAAATCTAAAATCTTTATTGTATGAATTTTTTTAAGAAAAACACGATGGCATTTTCTTTCTTTAATTTGAGAATTGCCTTTTTTTTTTTTTGGTTTGAGAAAAATAAAAAAGCATTGAATGAATCCATATGACAAACTAAATTAGTGCAAAGAAAGTAGGCCTCACTATTTTTTTCGTTGTATAACGTTAATTATATTTGTTATAGTCAGAAATATTATAACTATAATCTTTGCATTAGAGAATAAGCACTTTTTTACCCCTGAATTTATTTCCGCCATTGTTGGTTGCAATTTGCAAACATATTCTAGTTTACTTCTATGTAATTTACTACCACGCTAGATTATGATCTTGGAAATAATAAGTCCTTCTAAGTTTAACTCGTAGACTGAAGTTTAGCAGGTTTGGAGTCCAAATCCTAATACCTGCTTTTCATCTATTATCGCATCCTTTGGACCAAAAATTGTGTGAACAGGAAACTACACAAGAAGAGTAAATCAGCCTCAGCAGGTGTTTCTTCCTTGACAGACAGGGCTACCTGTAAAGCACATATTGTAGTGATGGACTTTTCTATTCGTCTTCTTCTTGTTCTCTGCAGTGCTTGTCAACCCCATAAATTCGTCATGAGGCATGGCCGCCTTTAGCCATTTATGGTCCCCCACGCAATTGATAAAGCCTTTCCAGACAGCCCCCTCAATCTTCAGTGTTCCCTTCCGTTTCAAGCCCTTAGCCGCTATAAGACTCGTTGTTGCACTCAATGCAGCAGGGTTCTTCTTTTCATCATCAATCTCTTTAACAGATTCCGTCTTCGTTCTTCGATTCGAAAATATTGTTGAAAACGTCGGATCTTCTTCATCATAATACTCGTTGATCTCAGAATCAAACGAGAAGTACTCTTCTTCACTACTGTCATGAATATCGCTATCATCCTGCTGAAACAACGAATTGAGGTCACAGGAAGCGGTTCCTTCAGTTCGTCTTTCCAAAACTTGCGTTCCTTATAAACTTCGAAGAAAATAATGGAGTTGTAGTTGTTTTTATCGCGAAGGAATTCTCTGAAACCGAAAAGATAAACTTTTCCTTCCCGTCGAGCTTTGAACCTCCAGATGACAAGTACTGAACGCTGGTGTGCAGCGCTCGGTCTGGATCAATCGACAACTTCATGTAAATTCTAGCTTTTTCCTTTACATTCAGATCCGCAGATTGGAACTTGATTTCAAGAATCCTGAATTTCCCACTTGGAGAAGAATCATCATAAGTTGAAGAGGGCGACATAATTCCAGATATCATATGAGGACATGGTGAAAGTTGAAAACCAATAAATATAAGCAGTTAATCCTCTCCCGGTTTGGAGTAGGATTTCCGCCGAAGTCAATAAGATATATATATATATATATATATATATATATATGATGTTCTGTCACTGTATTTATTTTATAAATTATCAATAAATAAGATGATTTCATCTAATTAATGAAATAAATTAGATGATATCACCTTAATGAATAAATATTTTAAAAAATATTAATTTTTGTATATTTATTTTAAGGATTAATATTTACTAATAATATATAAAATCTATACAACATCAAATATAAACTCAAAATTTTTTTTTTAAATTATCAATTTATTGTTTATGTATAATTATTTAATTATTCATCAGAAGTTATTATAAAAACTCAAAGAGCACTTGTGCTCAAGAATTTTAAAAAAAAAAAAAATTTTCAAAGAATACCTAGAGTCAGTAGTACAAAAACAGTTTTGTAAAAAGCCAAAGAAAAAAAGTTTTGACTGAATTGTAATTATATTATTTTATTTTGTTAAATGCAGTTTTACTTAATTAAATACTACAATACTTGCGTTACTAGACTAAAACAACTTTAAAAAAAAAGTGAAAAGTTTTGAAAATTAAAAAAATAACTGCAGTTTGAAAATAATTGTTAGAATTAATAATTTAATAAGAAGTTTATCATATTAATATAACTATTAAATTATAATAGTTTCATTAGATATTTAAACAAAAAATGATATATAGTAATAAAAATAATATAATAAGCATATACTCACATAAAATAATTTTTTATAATAATAATTTTTTCTTAAAATATATAAATATATTAATAATATATAAAAAAGATTTTTGGGTGCTATATATAAAAAAAATTCAAAATTATAATAAGAAAAAAATGTTATGATAAGAATATGTAATGTATAATAAGAAAAAATATTTGGTTGAAAAAAAATATTATTTACAATTGTGAATTATAATAAGAACATGTAACATATAATAAGCAAATATTCACATGAAATAATTATTTATAATAATAATTTTTTCTTAAAATATACAAAATATCTTAATAATATATAAAAAAGATTTTTAGGTGCAATATATAAAAACAAAATTCAAAATTATAATAAGCAAAAATTGTTATAATAAAAACACGTAACATACAATAAAAAAATATTTGGTTGAAAAAATGTTATTATAATTGTGAATTTTTTTTTTATATATTGCACCTATAAAAATATGTAACATATAATAAGCAAATACTCACATAGAATAATTATTTATAATTATGAATTTTTTTCTTAAAATATATAAAATATATTAATAATATATAAAAAATATTTTTAGGTACAAATATATAAAAACAAAATTCAAAATTATAATAAGAAAAAATGTTATAATAAGAACATGTAACATATAATAAGAAAAAATATTTGGTTGAGAAAAATATTATTTATAGTTGTGAATTTTGCTTTTATATATTGCACCTAATTTTTTTTATATATTTTAAGAAAAAATTATTATTATAAATAATTATTTTATGTGAGTATTTGAAGATATTGATTTTTTAAAGATAAAATAATCTTTTAATGAGTCTTTCAATGGTATTAATTGACAAAAAGATCTTCGTGTCTTATTAATTGAAAAATTTTGAGACATACTATTTATTTTTCAAACTAATGGACCTAAATTGAATTATACTTAAAATTGAAGGACATGAATTTATTTTACTCGTAATAAAATATTTGTTTGTGGCTCTGCTACAGGTGATTATAAATACATGAAGTTTGTATTTCTATTATTTGCACAAGTACCGTGAAATGTGTATTAGCATCAAAGTTGCTTTTGTGTTTCCCAAATACTGTCCGTTAGTGCATTCCTTTAGTTAATTTGCTTAAGTGTTGCTATACCCAAAGACGATTTTCATTTTTCCTTTGGTTCGATGTGTGAGTGCTACATTTGCATGCAGGGATCCATCTGAGAAGAGCGTTGTTGAGAATTTTCTTGAGGAAGAGGGCATAGATGACAACAATAAGATAAAAGTATAAATCCTCATAAAGGGTAAGTACGAGGATTATTGTTTAGGTAATCTTTTGCCATTTCTGTTTTCATACATGGGACCCTAGTATCTTGGTCACTGAAGTATCTCGTCAATCTTATTCAATCATTGAATGTCATATAGGCTTCTTCATCTAACTCATCATGAGTGTTCTAAGTACCCTTTTTTATGTGCTCCTTGCTTTAAGATATGAGTATGAAAGATGTCCTGTTTTTTCAGGGTTTAGAGATGAACTTGCAGGGCTGGGAAAGCATGAATTTTCCCCTGAATTTGGGGTTGTGCAAGATGCTGATCGACTTGATGCAATTGGTGCCGCAGGTAATTTTTGTGTTTTTGACCTTATTTTATTCAGTTGGTATGTTATTTCTGAAAGAAAATTCCTCATCTATGATCCGATATGAATGTTATAAGCTCAAACTTGAAATAATTTCACAGTGTATTCTTGGCTAACTTGAGAATAAATTTATGTCACCATTCATCAACTTACATTTCTTTTCCCTGTAGGATGGTTTATATAACACACTGCTCGGCATACCTGCTCATATGCTTGCTCACATAAAGATATCTGTACCTTTTTTATGCCCTTCGCTCCACTTTGAATGCTGCTCACATGAATAAAATATCTAAATGTCTTTTCTGAACTTGAGTTCTTTGATTTCAGGAATTGTTCGCTGCTTTACTTATGGTGGAAACAGAAACAGAGTGCTTCATGATCCTGCCATCCAGCCACGATCAGACTTATCCAAGGAACAGTACATGAAGAAAGAGGAGCAGACTACTGTGAATCATTTCGACGAGAAGCTTATCAAATTAAAGGATTTGATGAAAACTAAGGTACTCAGATTTGTATGACAAATCTTTATAGCCATAACCATGATTGGGTGCATGATATTACTTTAGATATTCTTATACGTGCACATCACCAGTATTCTTAGCATATGTTGTGCTACTGAGTTCGAGAATTGATGGAAATTTCAGGCTAGGCAAAGGAGGGCCGAGAAAAGGCATAAGTTCATGGAGGAATTCCTTAAAGAATTTAATGAAGATTGGGATGGGATGGCTTCAGTGGCGGTGCCACACGAGAACCAGAGGGGGGCCATTTTGAAAGTTATTTACATATATAAGGTGTTAATGTGAATTTTTTTAAAAATATATTTTTCAAAATATATAAATGATGCCTTAAAATATAATCATTTTCAATTAATTTTCATTTATAACTTTTTAACTCATTGAATCTTAAAAAAAAAAAGAAGTATCATAAATTTTTTTTAAGTTTTAAAATTTAAACTTTGTCTTATTTAAAAATGAAAAATCAATATGAATCATGGAAAGGATCAGTGTAAAATTAAAAAAAATAATATATTTTGAACCACTAATTTTAATAGATCCTAGAGATAAAAGAGATAAGTAGAAAAGAGTAAAAAAAACAGTTTAATTTTATCACTTTGATATACTAAAATTAATATTAAAAAAAGTATAAAATTTTTTTGTGTAAGTTGATCCTTCCTCCATGAATAATAACTTTCAAATTTAATATTTTTGTAAGTTGAGAGGATTTTTTTTATATAAAATGATTTACTCAATTTTTTTATATAAAATGATTTATTCATTTTTTTTATGGTGTCAATAAATAGAGGCTAAACACTTTTGATTCAGGATGGAGAAATTGAAATTTTACTTGACAAGGAATTATGCATTAATCATTAAGTTAAATATTCAAATGCGAATAAGCTAAACATTTTAATAATAAAAAATAAAATAACAAAACATATAAGTTTTTAAATAAAATTCGTGAAGTTCACTACTAAAAATGAGTTATACGAAGATTATGGATGAAAATCAAAACTAATACTTGTATTATAATTTAAGAGCTTTGATTAAATTATTTACCTAAAAATTTGAAAAACTTTAAAGTTATGATGTATTGATCTATTTATTAAGTTGTATTAATTTATCCATTTTAATCTTTAAAATATTTTACATTATTTTTATTAGAAACTCCCAATATTTCATGAAAAGCTATATTTAATTGATTAATCATACAAAGAATACTTAACATTATTTGAAAAGTCGACTTAACTAGTTATTTTGAATTGATAAAAGAAAAGTAATAATAAAGACAAATAACATGAATAGATAAAAATAGACTTTTAATTAAATATTTGCTTTCATTATAATTTTATTCTTAATTTTATGCATAAAATTAAGAATAATATAATGTGTACGTAAATGATTGTACACTTCCTTTTAATAGAAATCCTACCTCCGCCACTGGATGGCTTGAATGAGGTGTTTTCGTTCACCTAGATTCAGTCTATAGTTGAAGAGAGAAAAATGAGAACATGATATCTGGAAAACAAATCCATTATCATACCATCCTAAACATAACCAAATGCCACTCTACAGGATACAATCCTATAGTTGGTTCAATACCTTCAAAATATCTGGAAAAAAAAAAGTAAAGAAAAAGAGCATGAGAAAGTATAGTTATTAACAGAGGGTTTCTTCAAGATATTTAAATATGCATCTTCAGGTAGTTTTGAAGCAGTGTTTCGTCTCGCTTGATTAGGTTCACCTTAAGGCCATGCTTCATGTACATGGTCAACGCAAGTTTTGGTGCAACAGGATGACCTTTCACCACCTTCACGCGATAATGGTATATGATGGAGGCAGCAACAAACTTCATCTGGTAATAAGCAAAATCTTTTCCTAAGCAGAGCCGAGGACCACCATTGAAGGCGCTGAATTTGTAAGCTGACTCGCTAATATACCTGCCATCCCTTAACCATCTCTCTGGTTTATACTCCCTGCAGTCTTTTCCCCATATGGTTTCCATCCGTCCCATTGCATAGATTGCATAAATTACTTTTGTTCCTTTCTTGAGCACTGTTCCATCTGGAAATACGTCATCTTCAACAACCTGAAAGAACAGAATGATCAATGAATCAATGTTTAAATGACAGAGGATTAAGTTAATAACCGAGGGGAAAGCTGGGTTTAAAGAAATATATAAGTAAATTGATCAATGATTAAAAGGTTAAATTATTACCTCCTTGTGATCCACGGGAACGGAAGGATACAATCTCAGAGCCTCTGATAATGCAGCTTGCAAATAATCCATCTTCTTTATCTCCTCTGCTCTAAATATCAACGGACTTCTTACTTCTCCGTTTTTCATCTCTTCTCTTTCACTGATAATTCTGCATATCTCTGCAAGAATTTGTTCCTCGACCGTTGGATTCTTTTCCAGCAACCAGAAAAACCAGCTCAATGCCACTGAAGAAGTATCTCTCCCGGCAAGTATAAAATTCACACAAATATCACGCAGGAACTTGTCTGAAAATGGCTTTCCCTGCTCATCTTTCAACCTCATAAATACTGTTAATAAATCTGATCTCTGATTCTTTTCTTCACCTTGTAAGGACAGCTCCTTTTTCCTTGTTCTAATAACTTCTTCAGCAAATTGGTCCACGCCTTTGATCGATCTTTTCAGCTTCTTTTCAGTTCCCAAATCAAGGTACCTCGTGGCTTTCCATATACATGTTGGCGTAACAAAGCGTAGCACGGTAGCCTCAGTTGCGTCCTCAAAGGCTCTGGCGAATGGTATTTCGGGCAGTCCAGGACGCAGACACCCGGGGTCAACACCAAAGGCTATCATGCAAACATTATCGAAAGTTAATCTCAACAGGATATCTTGGAGATCAATGGAGATTGATTTGTTTACTGCATTTTCCAAGACAGGCAAAAGCCTGGCGTGAACAAGCTCGAGCAATGACTCGGTGGTCAATTGCCTGAACTTAGCCGAGTGGAACTCAATGCTCGCTGTTTTCCTTTGCCGTTGCCAGGTCTCATCATCTGCACTAAATATTCCATCTCCAAGCAGATCACGAACAGTGTCACGAAAATAAGGCCCTTTGGGGAAAACAGAGAATTTGGTCTTGAGAAGATGCTCAAGGTTCCTCGGATCAGCAGTAACCACGCAATTGAGACTACTAAACCATGGACCTTTGAACTTGAAAGTCCCATTTTGCTGGCAAATTATATCGGATATCCACTCGTACATGTCGGACTGGAGACCTGACACTAAAGATGGTAGCATGCCTAGAAATGGCCACACAGGCAGGCCATAACGTCTTTTTTGCCTCAAGGAATGTATAGCAATAAAGACGAGAAGAGCAAGAATTATATCCAAAATTTGAAGATGTTGTAAGAAAAACATCCGCCTGCAAACAAAGTTCCCGACAAGACAATCCTCTGAGGAAGAGGAGGAGGAGGAGGAAGTTGGATTGCTCCAAGGGTTGATCATGGTTTTGGGATGACAGGAAATGAAAGGACTATTGGCTAATTTTGCATGGGAATTGTCAGTTAAGGCCAGGGATATTAGTGCGTTATAAGGGATAGAGCATGTGTTTCTTGGCGTGCATGTTTTTGCCCAATTGGTATGATTTGTTGAGCTGAATTTTTTGTGTAGCTGATTGCCGTTTCTGTAACTTGTAACAATTTTTTTTGTCGGCTGATAGTTTTCTTGAAATTGGGAGTTTTAATTAAATTCAGGGCTGTCCAGGAAGTTTCACTCGCTTATGGAATGTTTGGCAAAGACTCATGAAAATGTAAGCAACGGCACGCTACTTGGTTGAGTGTCTCTTCAAATAGAGTTTACATGATTTTCTGAGATGGGGGGCACAATTTTGAATGGTGGGTGGCGACGGATAGCCTAAGTGCAACCATTTTTCGTGGTTATTATTATTATTATTATTATTATTATTTGGCCTTTAAGGTTGGCCTTTTGCAAGTTAATTATAAATCGAACAATTGTATCACAAACATTGTTAACATCAACTTTATACAAGCTTTATGTCAAATCTATTTTATGTCAAAATCATATCAATTTTATTAGAAATATTTTGATAAAAAAAAGTGTTATGTTCTCTTTTTATTAAAATTATCTTACTATTTTATTTGTATTATTTATTATCATAATCATGGTCCCCTTAAGTCTTATCATAATCTTAATCATTTAGTCTTCCTTCCTATATAAACTTGTAATTTCTTCCTCAATAAGGCAAAACTTAGATCTTAGTTTTTCCTTTGTAAAAACTTATTGGGAAATACTAAGTATCAAAACAGAATAAATGATTTGTGTGGCACACGTTTTCTGGCATGGTTAGTTAACAGATACGCCTACCTACAAATCATACCACTTGACAAACAACCCAGCCAATATTTGGGTAATTCTTTTTGGAAGCTTTGCTTGAAGGAAAAAAAATGTTGATTTGGGTAATTCTTTTTGAGAGATAATGTAGTTCCCAAAACACCAGTGTGAAGTTACAGTTTGTTTGAAAGGATATTATTAATTACCATTAAATGACATATGATCAATAGTATAATTTAGATTAATTACACTTGGCAGTTGGCAATTTGTATTTCTAGTGGTGCATAATGTTTAATGTTTAGTTTTTTTGCCAATAAAATAAAAAAAATAACTACTGTCATTAGTCATATGATTTATTGATAGAATATTAAACTTTTAATTCTGTTAATTATGATTTAAACTTAAACAAATTTAAATAAAATAAAATAAATACTATATAAATACAAAATATTTAATTCAACTCAATACCTTATATATAAATGCTATAGATAAGAGGATATCTGCGTGGCGCTTGGGTTTTTTTTTTAAATTATATATATTATTGTATTATAGCATATATAGATATTTGATAAAATTTGTCACATAAACATTTATGTGGATAACTTATTAGATAATATGTACCAAAATTTTTTTATAGATAGTTTTTTTAAAAGAGTATAATTTCTTTTAATTACAAATTAAATAATCTTGAATTTATTTAGATACTAAAATTATTCAAATTATAATTGCAGATCAAATTAATTTAGAGATGTGTTTTTCTAAAATTAAAAATCTAAAATATGAATTTTACCCGAATAATTTTAATTTTTTGTCAGATAACTTTATTTAATAAATTATTTAATTATGAAAATCTTTTAACATGTTTTAAAATTATAAAAATTAAGTTTATTTAAAATTTTCAAAAACTCACTATACACTTTTATCTTAATTTGTTTCAAATAAAAATTATCTTATAAAAAATTTATGTAAGATATTAAAAACTTCAATAGTATTTTCATATTAAATTTCTAAATAATTGGAAGTATATCCATCTTAACTTTAATTATTAATTTTATATTTAAAAAATAAACAAGAAATTTGATTTAATTTTTATCACTTATTATATCCTTTTAATTTAAAAAAAAATTAAAAATATCTATTCAATCCTAATTGTCATCTAAGAGTTATTCTATAAATTAAAAACTATAAATGAATGTGTTATATCATTTTTTATTTTTTTGCTTTGCAACTTTTTGAAATTCTATTGTTATAATTTATTTTTTCAATTTGCATCTTTCTTTTTTCAATATATATTCTATTACTATTGTAAGTTTGTTCTTATAAAAATTAATAATTTTTCATTTATTTTTTTGATACATCTTTTAACATTCTTTTCATATTTTGTATAATAATTTGAATACAATTACAAAAATGAAAGTATGCCTATACTTTTTAATTTTATTATTTAATTCATAATTCGATAAAATATATGTTTTTGTTCTTTTAAGAAAGACATGTAACTTATTTCTATTTGATATAAATTTTAGGTGTATAAAATTAGTGCAGATAAATATGATGCAAAGTGAAAACATGTCATTTTCTTATTGCTTTTTTTTAAATTATTTTTTTTATAACAAGTTACTTAGAAATAAAATTTTAAAGATGTTATAAATTTTGAAAATTTTAAAAAATATATTAATTTATATCTATATACACATATAAAATAAGTAAAATTATTCCATACATCACATAGGTCACAATATAGATTTTTTTATATATTTGAAAGGATACCATGTGTTAGCACCTGATTTATTTTTTTTCTTTTTTGTATTTAATAAATATTTTAAATATTTTTTTTATATTTTGGGCTCACTTAATATCATTTTTTTTAGATTTTTAAACTTTTTCTTAAAATATTTAATAAAAATTTTTAATATTTCAATTTTTTGTTGGACACGCTTGATATTAGAGCATGTCTTTTTTTTTTTCAATTTTTTATATTTAATAAATTATTTTTTATTTTATTTTGGATTCATTTTATATAAAAATTATGGCATGTGTCAAACCATTTGATTTTTTTTTCTTTTTTTTATCTCTTTTTTATTCATGTTTTCTTTATTTTCTTTTTTATTTAATCAATAATTTTAAATATTTTAATTTTTTAAAATATGAGACCTTTAATATTATTACTAAAAATACATTTTTTTTGCTATTTTTCCCTTTTTTAAATTGATGATTTTTAAGAAATAGATATTATCCAAAGTGTCGACAATTCTTATTTTAGATTTTTTAAAAAATTCACTATATAAATTTTTCAAAAAAACTTACAATAGTCGATGTCACGTGATAATTCAATCTTTTTTTTTTTTTTTTCATTTTTTTGGGTTTTTTCTCTTTTTCCTTTTAAAGTTTTTTCTTCCTTTTTTAACTAGATATTTTTTTAGAAAAAAAACTAATGAATGTGTACATGTAATATCAACATTTTTTTGCCCTTCACCTTTTTTATTTTTTATTAATAAATTTTTTAACAAAAAATTGGTAAATATATTTTTAAAGAAAAATATCAATAAAGGTATGGAAGATAAAACAACAAAAACATATGGATTTCCACTCATTTGGATCTAATGGGAGTGACTTTTTTTTTTTTAAAATTTGAGATCGGATCGAGTTTCTTTCCAAAAGATCAAGTTAGGTCAGATGCAAGTTTAAAACGTTTCGTCCCATCAAATTATATATAAATATATGTTTTATTATTAATTTAATTATATATATGTATTATATTAATAAAATTATTCTTAAATACTTTAATTTAATAAATTCATGTATCATCCCCCATCTAGCTTTTTTTTTTTTTTTCTTTTTTTTGCCAATTCCTTTAAAAAAATGAATTTATTTAATTTGATAAATTTTGTAAAAAAAAAAAGTTTAATAAATATAGAGAAAATAAAGCAACTCATATTGGATAAGTTTCTATTTGGCATGATCTAATGTGTGCTCAATTTTATAAAATCAAGACCAAATCAAGATTTTTTTCTTTTTCAAATCGGGGTCCCAATTGGATGTGAATCTAAGGTATTTTATCTTACTTCGAATATATATAAAAAAATATAGTTTTACTTATTTGTATATATGTATTATATTAATAAAATTATTATTTAATTAATATCTTAATTTAATAAAAATATTATATTTATCCATAACCAAGATATAACCCATTCATCTATTATATAAATTTTTTTATTTTGACTTCTATTGTATTGTTATTCAAGGTTGATGTGATGTCTTATGTATCTTTTTTTTTAAATTAGATAAATTTATTAAAAAAATTAATTAAGGTATCCACGTGGCATTTCAATTTGGTTTTTATCATTATTTTATTTAATTAAATAAATTTTGAAATGAAAAGAATCAATGGATAAAAATAACAAAATAATTCATATTCGATGAGTCTCCACTCAATTGAGATATTCACATAATTCTCAAATGAGCTTTCTTTTACTTTTTACTTTTAACCTTTTTCTTTTAATTTTTGTTTTTTCTTTTTGTTTTTCATTTTCATTTTTTTGTTTTGTTTTTTATTAAAGTAATTTTGTGTAAAAACAATGAAGGTATCAATGTGAATCCCCATTTGCTTTTTTTTTTTTTTTTTCATTTTTAGTATTTTTTTAATTAGATAACTTTTTAAATGAAGAAATACTACGTAACTAATAGGTTTCAATTCATCTTGAACTAATAAGGTGCAATTTTCTAAAATCAAGTTAATTTGAGACAAGTTGAGTTTTTTCTTTTTTTATTATTTTAAAAGAAGAGTTTAGGTGGAAAGCATATTTAAGGTGTTTGGTTCTGACCCAAGGCATATATAAAAGTATAGATTTTATTATTTATTTAGTTTTATACAAATATATTATACTAATAAATTTTTTTACCTTAATTTCAGAAATTAATATTTTAAATTCAATATGTGATGTTAATGTGACACTTTTTATGAAATTTTTCTCATTTTTTTTTCATTTTCCCCTTTTTTAATTTTTTTTGCTTTAGGTATTTATTTTTTTATAGATAAGTTTATGAAAAAATAAGATAGTAAAAGTAATCACTTGTCATTCCTGTTTATTTTTTTACTTTTTTCTTCTTTCTCATTTTTTGTTAATTTTTTTGAAAGATTTTATTTTTTAAAGGTAGGTCACACTTTATACCTAGATTTTTTTTAATATTTTAAATTTATTTTTAATAGGACCCATTTGATACTAAGGGTATGCTACATATTTATCTTTTTTATAGTTTTTAATTAGATAAATTTTGTAATAAAATATGATCAATTGATAGAATGCAAAAAATAATTCGTATTTAATGGGTTTTGATTCATCTT